CAAGCTCTGCACTGGTGGTGCCCCGATCCCGCAGCTGAATCAACTTTAGGAGACGGTCCTGGCGCTTGCTGGACTTTCTTGGGCGCCCTGACGCCTTCTTCACAACAATGAAACCTCTCTCCTTGAAGTTCTTGATGATCCGATAAATGGTTGATTTAGGTGCAATCTTAGTAGCAGCAATATCCTTGCCTGTGAAGCCCTTTTTGTGCAAAGCAATGATGACGGCATGTGTTTCCTTGCAGGTAACCATGGTTAAAAGAGGAAGAACAATGATTTCAAGCACCACCCTCCTTTTAAAGCTTCCAGTCTGTTATTCTAACTCAATCAGCATGACAGAGTGATCTCCAGCCTTGTCCTCGTCAACACTCTCACCTGTGTTAACGAGAGAATTACTGACATGATGTCAGCTGGTCCTTTTGTGGCAGGGCTGAAATGCAGTGGAAATGTTTTTGGGGGATTAAGTTCATTTTCATGGCAAAGAGGGACTTTGCAATTAATTGCAATTCATCTGATCACACTTCATGACATTTTGGAGTATATGCAAATAGCCATCACCAAAACTGAGGCAGCAGACTTTGTGAAAATTAGTATTTGTGTCATTCTCAAAACATTTGACCACGACTGTATACTTCTCAACTGTACTGTGATGTTTCACAAACGTTCTGAACCCTTCTATTCTCATTGTTTCTACAGATTGTGAATTGAAAATAAAAAAAATTGCTAAAAGTATTATTGTATTATTGATCGATTGACTATGACTTTTCAGATCACCCAGTAGTGCTATCTACAGGGTTAGCTCCAGGTAAATATTGCAATCCTTCAGCCATTCCTGGACCTGTGACCAAAAACAAGCTACAAATGGACAGTACCAAAACAAATGATCTAATGATTCTGTCTCTTCGCAGCAAGATCTGCAGAGCTGGGAAGATTGTATCCCCCATATAAATAACATTCTATTGTTTGCAAGAATTTTGAATAATAATTTAATTTGAAAAATTCTAAGTTTTGCATCTGGCGTCATTTTGCGTATCAGTTCATAAACCATTTGCAATGGAATCGATACGTCAAAAATCTCTTCCCAACTATTTTGCAATCTAAATGGGACAGCTGTCAATCGTTTGGTCCTTAAATGAAACTGGTATACCTTTTTATTTATCACAATTTTCTTTGACCAATTATGGTCTTTAATGCAGGGCCGACAGACAAGTTCCTTACTTTTTCCCCCTTCCACTTTCCTCTTCCATTTTTGAGATAATGCTGCAATTATTTGGTTGTAATTTTGGGTAGAGCAGACATTTCCATATGTTTTTGTTAGCTGCATGTGCGACATAACTCCACCAGTTCTACCTATGATATAATTTACGAAGATAATACATTTTTTAAACTTGATTTCAAAAAATAATATTTTTTATATCAATTATTATATTTGAGTTTAACCACAATATGTATTGCATTATTTGTTCTGTCGTTTCTGGGGGATTAAATTGAAATTGCAACCAACTTTCTATGGCTTGTTTTAGAAATATTGATATTTGGGAGATAATTTCCTTTTCAAATAACTGAAAGTGAGAGGTTGTAATCTGAGTAAAGGGAAAAAGGCCATTCTTGAACATTGGGTGAGACAATCTTACAGTGCTAGAGAACCAGTTCGGATTTAAGTATAACTTTTGTATGACTGAAGCTTTTAGTGGTAGGTCTAATGCTTTAATATTTAATCATTTCTGTCCTCCGAATTCATTACATAAATAGGCCCGTTTAATTTTGTCAGGCTTGCCGTTCCAAATAAAATTGAATATTCTTTTCTCATTTAATTTAAAAAACTGTTCGCTAGGCGTAGGCAATACCATATGCAAATAGGTAAACTGGGATAATACTAAAGAGTTAATCAGGGTGATTTTTCCACAAATAGCCAGGTATTTACCTTTCCATGGTAGCAAGATATTATCAATTTTTGCTAACTTTCTATTAAAATGTATTGGAGTGAGATCATTTATTTCATTTGGGATATGTATTCCGAGTATATCCACATCACCATCAGACCATTTTATTGGTAAACTACACGGTAATGTACAAATTCTATTTTTTTGTGATCCAATGCGTAATACAGTACATTTATCATAATTTGGTTGTAATCCAGAGAGGTTAGAAAATGTATCTAGATCCTCTATGAGGCTGTGGAGGGATTCAAGTTGTGGATTTAAAAGAACATGAATCATCAGCGTACAATGACACCTTTGTTTTTAAGCCCTGGATTTCTAATCCCTTGATATTATTGTTGGATCTGATTTTAATAACTAACATTTCGATGGCCATAATAAATAGATATGCCAATAGTGGACAACCTTGTTTTACTCCTTTTGACGGTTTAAAACTTTCTGAGAAATAGCCATTATTCACTATTTTACACCTAGGGTTACTATACATGATTTTAATCCATTTTATAAGAGATTCTCCAAAATTGAAATTTTATCAAAAGCATTTTACCAGTCGCAATTTATCCAAAGCCTTTTCAAAGTCAGCTATGAACCTGAAGCCCAGATTTTATCATAGTGTTGTTTCCAGTACTTGCCTTATCTTATCTCCAATGTATCGTCCATGTAAAAAAACCTGTCTGATTAGAATGAAAAATGTCCCACAATACCTTTTTAATTCTATGCGCTATACATTTTGCTAGAATTTATGCATCACAACACTGAAGTGTAAGGGGCCTCCAATTTTTTAAATGGACAGGATCTTTATATTTCCCACTTGTATCCTGTTTCAGTAATAATGAAATCAGACCTTCTTCTTGAGTGTCTGATAATCTACCATTTACATACGTCGATGTTAATGGGGGCCTGTTCGGCCCTCCTTTTCCTATAGTCCACGATCAGCTCCTTTGTCCTGCTCACATTGAGGGAGAGGTTGTTGTCCTGGCACCACACTGCCAGGTCACTGACCTCCTCCATATAGTCTGTCTCATCGTTGTCGGTGATCAGGCCTACCACTGTTGTGTCGTCAGCAAACTTAATGATGGTGTTGGAGTCGTGCTTGGCCACGCAGTCGTGGGTCAATCAGGGAGTACAGGAGGGGACTAAGCATGCACCCCTGATGGGCCCCAGTGTTGAGGATCAGCGTGGCAGATGTGTTGTTGCCTACCCTTACCACCTGGGGGTGGCCTGTCAGGAAGTCCAGGATCCAGTTGCAGAGGGAGGTGTTTAGTCCCAGGGTCCTTAGCTTAGTGATGACCTTTGTGGGCACTATGGTGTTGAACGCTGAGCTGTCGTCAATGAACAGCATAGGTGTTCCTTTTGTCCAGGTGGGAAAGGGCAGTGTGGAGTGCGATTGAGATTGCATCATTTGTGGATCTGTTGGGACGGTATGCGAATTGGAGTGGGTCTAGGGTTTCTGGGATGATGGTGTTGATGTGCGCCATGACCAGCCTTTCAAAGCACTTCATGGCTACCGACGTGAGTGCTACGGGCGGTAGTCATTTAGGCAGGTTACCTTCGCTTTCTTGGGCACAGGGACTATGGTGGTCTGCTTGAAACATGTAGGTATTACAGACTCGGTCAGGGAGAGGTTGAAAATGTCAGTGAAGACACTTGCCAGTTGAAACATCTGAAGAATGGATGCTGTTTAGTCATACTCAGTGTATGATAGCAGGCCAGAGATGTCCATTCTGCAAAAAAGGAGGGCTTTAGTTTATAAGGTACTCTCTCTGAGTTTCTGAGAGAGAGCGAGAGAGAGAGAGAGAGAGACGAGAGAGAGAGAGAGAGAGAGAGAGAGAGAGAGAGAGAGAGAGAGAGAGAGAGAGAGAGAGAGAGATAGAGAGAGTCTTGCTAAATATTGTAATGGAAATGTAACAAATTCTAGGGACAGTTCCCACTACCCTAAAAATGGCCATTTTGCCGCTGGACTCGCATGAACGTGTTAAAGCAAATTACGTAAGGAAGACAAGGAAACTAATTCACATTTTGCAATGTGATGTCACCCCCTACTGACAAACTCCTGCGTAGCATGTGAAATGTGGCGACGTCCATGCCGGTGATAGGAAGGGAAAAATTAAGAAACATTTACATTTTAGTAGACACTCTTATCCAGAGAAACTAGGGTTAAGTTGCTTGCTCAGGGGCACAACGACAGACTTTTAAACTAGTATTTCGAAACAGCAACCTTTCGGTTACTGGACCAACGCTCTTAACTACTAGGCTACCTTTATTAGTTTGGCTACGAAGTGGTTTTCAGAGGATGCAGCGATGGAGGCTATGGAGAGAAGGTTGGAGAAGCTACAGCTGCGCTGGAATGCGATCAATATGGATGATAGTTCTGATGATATGGGTCGGGAGGATGAGGATCAAGGATCTGAATGGTCTGTAGTGGAAAGTAATAGGAAAAAGAGAGACCATGCTACTGAAAGCAGTGGTGCTTCTAGTGCAGAGAGCGTTGAGAGGGTGAAAGTAGGGAACCAGAGTAATGATGTCTCGGAGTAGAAAGTTGTGATGGTGTTTGATGTGACCACAGGGCCGCATCTACACCCTATCCCATTAACCAATGACATAAAGAAAGAGATAGGTGAAGTCAAGCTAGCCCGGTTCATTGGAAAGGGTAGACTGCTATTATCATGTGGTAGCCATGTTCAGCAAGGGAAAATTCTTAAAATGGAAACTCTCAATAGGAAGAAGATCAAAAGTACCTGGAGCTTATGCTACGTTGAGGTTGGGAGGGTTTTGGGAGAGGGGGAGGGTTTGTTAGAAGTTAGTAGGGATTTATTTTTTTAGTAGTTGTGCAGAATTAGCCAAACCGTGATTGATCGCACGCTCCAGCACAGTAGGTGGCGGCATGCACCTTAATAGCGGACCGCCATTATACCATAGAAGAAGACGACTCTCGTCCTCCGGCGGATACTTAAAAATGTAACACCAAAATATGTGGACTGCTGCAAAATCAACTGCTCATTGTTTTATGTTTTTAAATGCCGTTATTTTGTAGGGTCAGTCTGTTAAACTTTCAGGGAAGACATGCATAAAGAACACGCTTCATCAAAGTATGTCAACATCACTCCATCCAGGGACGAATGCGTGTACACAAGCTGTTACTGGTAATTGTCAGCAATGCATGCATGCTCAGAATGACGCTACGCTAGGTGGCTAGCTAAATACATATAATGGTAGCGGACTAAACTCCACTCTATGGTGAAGTTGACCATAAACTTCATTCACCATGGAGTGGAGTTTAGTCCGCTAATATAATGGGTGCATGAATTACATTTCAAAATCTTGCTTTTTCAGTGAGGAAAATGTATGGAAACTATGTGAACACATCAAGACTCAAACGCAAATACCTTTGGACGAGGTGTATGCAGTCTTTATATCAAATGAAAGAAAAATGGTGAGTTGTAGGTCGTTAAAAAGTGATTGTGAAGTTATGTGAATCTTTGTTAACCCTTCACTCTGTTATAAATTATTAATTTCCATTCCTCTCAGATCCCTATATGGAAACAGAAGTCCGGTCGTGGAGATGAACCTGTTGTTTGGGTAGGCAGTGTCCCTTGGCTTTCAGACAGACAGAGGATGGAGGAATCCAGAACGAGGAAATATGAAGCCACACCCTTGCCTTTTCTTTAGCATTATGTGAAAATATATATATATATTTTTTTAGATTAATCAAAAGTATTACAACGGGTCGCTATATAACATTTATCATTCTGTTTGTAGGATTATCACGTTGTTCTACTTCATCAGAATCAGCAGGGACAGAGCTTTATTTATGACCTGGATACTGTCCTGCCTTTCTCCTGTCCTTTCAATGTTTACACTACAGAAGCCTTCCATACAGATCAGGTCCTTAAACCAGCTTTCTGGAGGTAAGCCAGTATTCATATTCAGTTATTTTTATTTAATTTATTCTAAGCAAGTATGTGTGTCAAGGTGATTGGTTCTCCTCATTGATAAACACTGTTGAATGCTTGTCTATTCAACGCTTTCCAGGAAGTTGCGAGTTATTCCTGCAGATACCTACCTGAAGAAGTTTGCCTCAGACCGGTCACATATGAAAGATGCAGATGGGACATGGCGCATGCCTCCACCGCTGTATCCTTGTATTGAAACAACAGGTACATCTCAGTCCTATTACATATTTATTGCTTGCAACACTCAATATTTGAATGGAAATCACAATTTGTCAGTGTGAGAAGGATATTGGGATTGTCTAACAGAAGAATGGGTTTCTTTCTATCGTTCCAGACTCTAAAATGAACCTGGATGACTTCATCAGTATGGATTCCAAAGTGGGATTTGGACATGTATACAGTCTCTCTGAATTTGTGAAACACTTTGCAGAAAAATTATGATTGCTGGTTTGAAGTTAATATACTTCATACAGAGATTGGTGGTTGCCTGCTGGGTATTTCTGCTTTTCTCAGCTCTAGACTACTACAGGGTCATAAGCCAGCAAACAACAATCCTCAATGTTACGCTTCTTATCCTGGTGGCAGAATATTTCTAAGCCATAGGAATAACCAGGAATATGTCGAGATAAGCCATAAATACAGATGCCACTAAAACTAAATTATTACACATTGTATAGTTAAAATTGCCTATGAAGCAAACAACTGTACAGGGATGACAGTTGTACAATGTATCTTAAGGTCATTTAAAGCAGTTAATGTATTTGTGTGGAAATGTTTACCTTTATTTTGTGAGATAAGCACAAGTTACAAGAGAAAAAGATGGGAGCTTTAGTTTCTGGCATTTATTGATAGTTACTGAACTTGTCAGAGGGGAAGGAGAAACTGGAATACAAAGAAAAAATAAATGCTGTTATGTTGAAAATACAGGAGTCTAAATTATTTCAGTAATATCCAAATACGAAAAATCAAGTCACACCAACACGAGTCACATTTTTTTTAAGCAATGGCCGCCAAGTAGTCTTTCACTTCTGCGGGTGAGAATCGCCTGAAGCCCGCTTCATTGCAGATCCCCACTTCAATATTGTCTTCGGTCATCTGACCCTCGAAGCTTTCCTGTGAATAAAAGTTATAGCATTCAGGATTCTGCTAATAACCCAAATGTCAAAAGATCACAAGAGAGTCTGTGGTCTGTTAAGATGTATCTGACGACAGGAATTGGTACAATTGGCCCAGCGTCGTCCGGGTTTGGCCGGTGTAGGCCGTCATTGTAAATAACAATTTGTTCTTAACTGACTTGCCTAGTTAAATAAAGGTAAAATAAAAAAAGGAGAGCATAGAAGGGGACATTTCATGTATAGCCCTTTCCACATAGAAGCCCAGCAGCAGAGGCTTACAATTGATTAACTCACCTTCAATGTCAAGATAGCTGTGTGGATGGCGTCTTCCAGTTCCAGGTCTTCGTTGTATCTGAGTGAGGAGACACACAAATGACTTTACCCCACATTTATCAAAGGGTTACGAAACACTGCAGTTGAACCATAACTGCCACACGACATGCTGATGCTGGGAATATGGTGCCAATTGGGAGGACGGGAGAATTGATCGACATACCTTTTCTCAAGGAATGTTTTCCCATTGACGTAGTTCTTCCCCATAGCAGTTGCTTTCCAGGCAAAATATGCTCCCTGGGTAGAGAAATCAAAACATGATTATCATCATGATCTCGCAACAAATACAGAAGACAAACATGTTCAGATAGCAAATGGTGGTAACCAGCCCTTACAGACGGATCAGACTGGAAAAGGTATGGTCGATCCTCATCCCAACCGGCGATCAGCAAGGACACTCCGAAAGGACGGACACCCCTGCAATAGAAGACAAAACATTTCAAAATATACATTTTAAAACATTTAAGCCTACATGAAGCAAATTGACTCCATCATGAATGCATTCATTGTTCAAATCAAATTAACTACATTCATTGAATTACATAACTATTCCCCCCCCCCAGTCATTTCATTACATCCTATGATTCTTACTTGATAGTCTGAAAAGGAACATTGAAGAACGATCTGGCCATGTACTTTTATAATCTCCACCCGGCACAGCCAGAAGAGGACTGGCCACCTCTCGAAGCCTGATTCCTCTCTTAGGTTTCTTACTAGGTTCCTGCCTTTCTAGAGAGTTTTCCATAGCCACTCTGCTTCTACATCTGCATTGCTTGCTCTTTGTAGTTTTAGGCTGGGTATCTGTATAAGCACTTTGTGACATCTGTTTACAGTGCATTCGGAGAGTATTCAGACCCCTTGACTTTTTCGACATATTGTTACATTAGACTTATTCTAAAATTGTTCTACACACAATATCCCATAGTGAAAAAGCAAAAAAAGTTTAGAAATGTTTGCAAATTTATGAAGAATAAAAAACTTTAATATCACATTTACATAAGTATTCAGACCCTTTACACTACTCAGTACTTTGTTGAAGTACCTTTGGCAGCGATTACAGCCTCGAGTCTTCTTGGGTATGACGCTACAAGCTTGGCACACCTGTATTTGGAGAGTTTCTCCCATTCTTCTCTGCAGATCCTCTTAAGCTCTGTCAGGTTGGATGGGGAGCGTTGCGGCACAGCTATTTTCAGGCCTCTAGAGATGTTCGATCGGCTTCAAGTCCGGGCACTGGCTGGGCCACTCAAGGACATTCAGAGACTTGTCCCGAAGCCACTCCTGCGTTGTCTTGGCTGTGTGCTTAGGGTCGTTGTCCTGTTGGAAGGGGAACCTTAGTCTGAGGTCCTGAGCACTCTGGAGCAAGTTTTCATCAAGGATCTCTCTGTACTTTGCTCCGTTCATCTTTCCCTCGGTCATGACTTGTCTCCCAGTCCCTGCCTCATGGCTTGGTTTTTGCTCTGACATGCAATGTCAACTGTGGGACCTTATATAGACAGGTGTGTGCCTTTCCAAATCATGTCCAATCAATTTAATTTACCACAGGTGGACTCCAATCAAGTTGTAGAAACATCTCAAGGATGATCAATGGAAACAGGATGCACCTGAGCTCAATTTCGAGTATCAGAGCAAAGGGTCTGAATACTTATGTAAATAAGGTATTTCTGTTTTTTATTTTTAATACATTTGCAAAAGCCTGTTTTCGCATTGTCATTATGGGGTATTGTGTGTAGATTGATGAGGGAAAACATGTAATCCATTTTGGAATAAGGCTGTAACGTAACAAAATGTGGAAAAATTCAAGGGGTCTGAATACTTTCCGAATGCACTGTATGTAAAAAGGGTTTAAAAAAATAAACAGTTGACTTTTGGACTACTCCACATTTATATTCTGGTTATTTAAGCTAAGCGAGAACTGGTAATCACTGTCATGGTAAGCAAAAAATAAGTCCTCAATAGGTAGCTACAGTATCATACTCCATACCCTGACTGTGTGTACTCCTGCATGACGGAGGCCACTCTCTGAACAAGCTGAGCTGTGGGTATGGGCTCCTGGTACACCAGGAAATACTGCTGGGCCAACTTCCTGGCTCTCCGGAGCAGCACCCTGTCAACACAACAAAGAGCATCTCGTCTCGTTACACTCAAGGCCTGTAACTTTAGTTTACTTGTTTATTGACTTTGTTTAATCATGTATGCTAAGAAATCATAGACCATAGCAATATTCTATAAACAACTACATCATGTTTCTATGAAGCAGTCAATATACTAGAGTGCATAGGGAGTGGAATATGTATAATACTATATGCTGAAGTTGATTTTCAGTAAGAATGAGTTCCCCATTCCCTCATTACCTGTAGTCAGGTCCCATGCCACTGTACACCATACCAATGTGTTTGGTTATAGGCTCAACTTTGTGAACACTGGTCTCGTCGTACAGGATGGACTTCTGTTTCTTCTCCGTTGCCAAGACAACTCCATTTGAGGCTGTAGGAAGGGGAGGAAAATGAAGTGACAACGCTTGGAATCAGCTCTCCTTACTTGAGGTGATAATGAAAGTCAATGTTTAGTTGTGTATAAGTCTGTTGAGATGTTTAATTGGATGGGCACTGATTAATTAAATAAATAAAAACACCGAATAAATAGACAAGGTGGATGTAAACTACCTGCATCAAAATGTTTTAATTTAACTACTCACCTTTAATTCCTACAGCGGGTGCACCTGCGGCCACTGCTGCCAGGGCATATTCAATTTGGACCAGCTTCCCAGAGGGGCTGTTAGGAACAAGGAAGATATGTAACTAGGTAACGTTAGTTATAGCACTAACCTACACCTGTTAATAGAAATGTTGTAAGTTAATCAGTTACATCTAGCTAACTGTGTAGCCTGTAGCCAAAACTAGAGGGTGGGGGGGGGGTGTAAAACAAATTGCTAGCCACTGCAGTAGCTACAAATATTTAGACATTAGCCTAAATTACAGAACTATCAATTGGCTTACGCTAGCTAGCTCGCTTCAACAGCTACCGGTAGGAAGCTAGCTAGTTAGCATCGGCGTGACACTGCATCTCTTGCAGAGTTGCCTCAAGTGTATTTAATGGCCATTGAGCAAGAACAAGATCACAATTATAGCAGAATATGGCCTCACGGTAAGGTGTTAATTGACTACGTTTTGTTTTGCGATGCAGAAATTTATTTTTCTTTTACTTTACCTGAAGGTAGTGAGGGAGAAACTGTATCCTCGTTCAGCCATTGTTAAACTGTCTTGAGGAAGGTTTTGCTGGACGGACCAGATAGCGGAAATGAACTACATGAAGTTCCGGTTCTGCCCATTTCTCTGTGAAACCGAAGGTCATATGCATATGAAACATGCACATAACTTTAACAGGACCCTCGGAATTCATGAATACGTTTTTTTACAAGTATTATCACAATGCAATTGATAATAGAAAGGCATTGTTTTGTTATTTTTTGTAGGGGTGTGGTCAGAGTGGATGTTAACAACCGGTCCCGCGTCAGAAGTAATTTGCATAAGTGCAAATGGCTTAAAATACATACATGTAATTCTATTACTTTCATCTTAAACACTTTTGTATTCAAAATACACATTTAACACTGGTTTGCTGGCGCTTGCTCCGGCGACTATTGTATGAAAAATGTATGCACTCACTAACTGTAAGTCGCTCTGGATAAGAGTGTCTACTAAATGACTAAAATGTCAATGTATTGTATTTCAGATGGAACACGGACATGGCATTGTGGAGATGCACTACAGTCACTCTCAGACAGGAGGAATTTAGTTATTTGAGCATCTTTATTATGAAGATAAAACCCAACAATACATGAAGCTAGCAAGATGAACAGAACTTTACATACAGCTGAGAAAATGTGCGTTTCTTTGAGCAAAGAAGGCCACAGAGTTAACAAATGGAGTATTGTATTGGCATTGTGTGTGGATATCTTAAACATGGGGTTCCCCCCCCCACCCCCAACCGTGATTGCGCTTTTCTTTTTACACAGATTTCTAGAATCATTCAATATTTAAATATGTATTTGCCTGTAAGAACTATAGCAAATGTGAAATAGTGAAAGTTTAAAGTACACACAAAACAGTCAAGTTTGCACATTTCTCTTAAGTTTACAGTAGGTTTCAGTTTATTATTGTCACGTATAGTATTTATGAGCAAAAGGAGAGTCCTGTTGAAACTTCATATAAATGATCACTGCAAAAGCCTAAATTCTGATCATACATAAAATAGTTGGCATTGGATAGATATGTGCTTAATAGGAACGGATGGCAGGAGGGATAGCAGCACAGTCCTCTGCATCCAGTGAGTTATCAATAACCGGTCTGTATTTCAGAGTTACCTGTAACAAAAGCACAAAAAGGTAGAAATGAGTGAGTGATGGCAAATGTACATTGGCATGTACCTAGACTGCTATTATTGTGCCATTAAGCATGAACGTATGTTACAATTAGGCTTGGGCATTATACCGTGTACCGGGGTATTTGGAAATACCAACAGTATGCTACGCCACTGCTTATAACTAACTATAAGTTAAGTATAACTACAGTGGCATGTATTCACGGATGCCAAGGGAAGCCAGGCTATAATGGTTTCCGAGCTGGTCATGGGTGCACCTCAGCCACGCTCAAGGTCCTAAACGATATTATGACTGCCTCGCCTGGTTCACCAACTACTTCTCAGATAGAGTTCAATGTGTCAAATCGGAGGGCCTGTTGTCTGGACCTCTGGCAGTCTCTATGGGGGTGCCACTGGGTTCAATTCTCGGGCCGACTCTATTCTCTGTGTATATCAATGATGTCGCTCTTGCTGCTGGTGACTCTCAGATCCACCTCTACGCAGACGACACCATTTTGTATACATCTGGCCCTTCATTGGACACTGTGCTAACAAACCTCCAAACGAGCTTCAATGCCATACAACACTCCTTCCATAGCCTCCAACTGCTCTTAAACGTTAGTAAAACTAAATGCATGCTCTTCAATTGAACGCTGCTTGAACCCGCCCACCCGACTAGAATCACTACTCTCGGCGGGTCTGACTTAGAATATGTGGACAACTACAAATACCTAGGTGTCCGGTTAGACCGTAAACTCTTCTTCAAGACTCACATTAAGCATCTCCAATCCAAAGTTAAATCTAGAATCGGCTTCCTATTTTGCACTATGGCCTATTTATTGCCTTACCTCCATAACTTACTACATTTGCACACACTGTATATATATTTTCTATTGTGTTATTGACTGTACGTTTTGTTTACCCCATATGTAACTCTGTGTTGTTGTTGTTTTTAAAATCGCACTGCTTTGCTTTATCTTGGCCAGGTCGCAGTTGTAAATGAGAACTTGTTCTCAACTGGCTTACCTGGTTAAATAAAGGTGAAATAAATATAAATAAACCCCCCCCCAAAAAAAATGTATCAAGAAAAAAAATACTAAATAAAATAATGTATCGTTCGTCTCTGTGTTTCGTAATGTTCCTTCAATTGGCAAAGGGCTGAATGTATCTCACCGACCCGGTCTCTGCTCTGTACGTGAAGCCCATCTATGGTCAATAAGAGTATTCTACTGTTGCCGCCCGTAGCATTGAATGCTAGCGAAGCCAGCAAGCATTTGGCCTCCCTTAATATTTTTTTAATTAATACAATAATAACCAAATCAGCGTTGAGCTAAAACTGAGTGAGCTCAGCTGTGAATGGTCCTGGTGCACAAAAAAGTGTCAAGGGAAGCCAGTTTGGATTTGGCTTCAGACCAAATCACATCAGACGCCAAACGTCACTGACAGAAAAAAAACTTGAATTGTTCCGTTGTTGTCCTCAGGTGGGCTAAAATTGGCCCTGGATGGAGATAGGGATTTGGACCTGTGGTTTTCCTTAATTATCCGTACTGGCCAACGATTATAACGGCGATTCTGATCCAACCCTAAATTCATACATTGTGCCTCTGGCCTGAGAGGATGGAAGTTCAATATGTAGCTAGATGTAGTAGGCTAATGTTAACTAGCTGGCTAGTGATTGCCCATGAAAGGAAGTTGGGCTAGCGAGCCAGCATTTTAGCCAGGTAGCCGAGGACAACAAAAACTAAAAGGGTGTACTGTATGACAGAGTCATAGACCGTTTAGGCAACATGAAAGAGGATGATGATGTCATTGGCATTTCTCTACAAGTAGGGTGAGTCAACATGTTTTTTCTACTTACGCAAAAACACAGAAATCAGCATCATGGACAGCCATATGATATATAGCTTACGTTGATTGGACTAAATTGTTTTTGGAATCTTTTAGTTGTCACTATTAGATTAAGCAGAGGTGATTTGATGATGTTGAAATGTTGAAGTTGAAATGGTGCTGGAGTAGTGGAGGCAGCTCCTGTTTTCTTTGCGACTTGCGGTAACTCTCTGTGGTTCTAAATCAATAGTTGTTTAGTAGTTGGAAAATGTCGGAAACATTAACTTGATTGACCGTGCTGTAGGTCATTTATCTGTTTGTTACATGTAATGTGCTTTGTGGACTCCACCGGACAGAGGTTGCTCTCCGGTTTTGCGATGAAACAAAGGTGTGGTTGAATTTATTCTGCCACTGTCTTCTTTTTGTCTTGGACTTAGGCCTATATATATATCACGGTGGCAAGGCATACGAACTAACAGGTTATAGAGCAAACAACGCAATTATCACAACACAGGTTGTAATATGGCCCCCTGGCTTGGCTTCCCCAGTTATACCAACCCTAGTTACAACTAATCCTGTCATTTATATTTAGAAAAATAAAATACATCTGAAGTTAACACAATTAGACATGGACTTGGTTTTGTGAGCGTACTTACCTTCCCTGTCTTATGATCCACAGTGGACAGGGTGTGTTTCCTCCAGTGCTCTTCCATGGGCTTCCTCACCTGTCCCGCCAGAGGCTTGGCGTAGTCAAGCTCATCCATACGGTCCTGCAATGTTACATAGGCCTCTTTCAGAATGACATCAGTCTACATATTGTTACAACTACTGCTGGAGAGAGCTCCTATAGTTGTTTTATGGTGGATGTTTACAGCATTAAAAGCATTGTCTGTCAATATCCCAAAAAAAATGTCCACATCAAGACCCCTACTGTGAAACAAAATGAAACCACTGAATGCATAGAAGAAGTAATCTCACTTTGCCAGAAAACAAATTCTCATTGCGGACCAGGCTAATATAGGAGTGGTTTGTTCTTACCTTGAAGTCCTCTCTGGAGTGGGCTCCCCTGCTCTCCTGGCGCTGCTCGGCGGAGTTGATGGTCTGCACAGCGTTCAGCATAAGGTTCTGCAGCTCTAGGGTCTCCACCAGGTCAGTGTTCCACACAATACCTGAGGGGAAGAGAGAGTGAATACCTGAGGGGGAATACCTGAGGGGAGGACACAGTGAACGACAGAACTTGAACACTGCTACAGAACATCTTTACGTGTATGTTTGATGTTTTTACAACCAAGCCCAACAATGGGACAACAAAGGTCTGCCTCTGCTAGAAGGGGCAATTGAAAGACAATTCCTATCACATCAGCAGAGGGAATGAGATGCTGACCTCTGTCGAAGGTCTTGATGTCGTCCAGGGTCTGGTAGATGGCGTCCATCTTGTCACATCCCTCCTTCAGGACCTTGCCGGTACGGAACACAGCGGCGTGGTTCTGCATGGTCTGACAGCAGAGAGAGAGGGGAACACAGGCTTAGAGAAGATGTGATGGTACTGTACAAGTCCTCATTAAAGCCCGTTACCAGTAAATTTGACAAACATCCAAGGTCAATTCCCTAATATGGATGTTAGACATCCGTTCCATTTTGTATTTTTAGGATCCATACCTTCTGCATGTTCACTCTGATCTCAGAGGTCCTCATGCTACCGTCAGCAAACCTCAGCTTGTCCAGGTTGGCAACAGACTCCTCTCCTGCGTTGGGCTTCAGGGGGGAGAGCTTCTCTCCTGCAGAACCATCACATCGTCAGGATTGTAAAAACGTATTTAACTATTTAAAATCTGTTATTCGTCCAGGTTAGTGCCATTGCGATACTTTTTCAAGGGAGTATTGCCCTGGCCTTTACACTGAAAAGTTGTGGGACAATGCATTAATGCATGTGCTTTTTGTCTTGATGAGGGTTGAAAAACAGAGAGTATTGAGTTGTTACCTGGAGTGCAGATGTCAGCGATTGTGTGAGCGCAGGCGCGTCCAAACACCACCAGGTCCAACAGGGAGTTGGCTCCCAGACGGTTGGCACCATGGACACTGGCACAGGCAGCCTCGCCACAGGCAAACAGCCCTGGCACCACCTTGTCACCATCCTCAGGCGTGTGGGTGATGACCTGTGGAGAACAGGACAGTATATCGTTATTATATAATATAGGTTTAATGTAATCAAACTAGTGGAGGTCCAGTTCTCATTGCATCTGTCTACTTATTTTAGGGTTCTTCAACAGGACTTTAAAAAAATATAATATATGCAGACAGTTTTTAAAAACATTTTTAGTCATTTTGCAGATGCTCTTATCCAGAGCGACTTACAGTTAAGTGAGTGCATACATTTTCATACTGGCCCCCCGTGGGAATCGAACCCACAACCCTGGCGTTGCAAGTGCCATGCTCTACCAACTGAGCTACACGGGGGGCTTTTCTATGGGTCCTACTAGTTACCTGTCCCCTGTAGTTGGTGGGGACTCCTCCCATGTTGTAGTGGACGGTGGGCAGGACAGGGATGGGCTCTTTGGTGACGTCCACGCCGGCGAAGATCATGGCGGTCTCAGAGATGCCGGGCAGACGGGTGGCCAGCTGCTGTGGGGGGAGATGGTGCAGCTGCAGGTACGCATGGTCCTTCTCTGGGCCACATCCCCTAGGGACACAGATACAGGGCTGTTAGCATGACCGGTACACATGGGGTTTCTCTCACAGATACAGGGCTGTTAGCATGACCGGTACACATGGGGTTTCTCTCACAGATACAGGGCTGTTAGCATGACCGGTACACATGGGGTTTCTCTGGGTCACACAGATACAGGGCTGTTAGCATGACCGGTACACATGGGGTTTCTCTCACAGATACAGGGCTGTTAGCGTGACCGTAGTCTTTCACAACTGAAACTCATAGCAAGGTGGGGTCAACCCCATTGGAATTTGGAAGTTGTGGGTAGATTCCAAATTAATTCAATTTCCCATCATTCAAATTCAAGTGCATTTCTTGAGGTCGATTTTAGTTTACCAAAGCATTCTAGATTGAATATCTATTTGAAGCCATTTTACACGTTGTTTTAAAACCGTGCATGCCAATATCAAATCACTGGTCTGACAACCATGGAGCATGCAGCGTCCCACATACAGTGCCTTCAGAAAGTATTCCTACCCCTTGACTTATTCCACATTTTTTTGATACAGCCTGAATTCAAAATGGATTTTTTATTTATTTTTATCTGACCCATCTACACACAATACCCCATTATGACAACGTGAACACATGTTTTTAGATGTTTTTTGCTAATTTATTGAAATGAAATACAGAAATCTAATTTACATACTGTAAGTATTAACACCCTATACATGTTAGAATCATCTTTGGCAGCACTTACAGCTGTGAGTCTCCGGTAAGACGAGGGGCGGCGGTCTGTGTATATTTGTAAACAACAGCTGGTGCACAAAATCAAATACTAAGGAAGTCTCAAGGTTTTGCTCGCCTGAGGTAGAGTATCTTATGATAAGCTGTAGACCACACTATTTACCAAGAGAGTTTTCATCTATATTTTTCATAGCTGTCTATTTACCACCACAAACCAATGCTGGCATTAAGATTGCACTGAATGAGTTGTACAAGGCCATTAATCAACAGGAAAACGCTCATCCAGATGCAGCGCTCCTAGTAGCCGGGGACTTTAATGCAGGGAAACTTAAATCCGTTCTACCTCATTTCTACCAGCATGTTAAATGTGCAACCAGAGGGGAAAAAACTCTAGACCACCTTTACTCCACACACAGAGACGCATACAAAGCTCTCCCTCGCCCTCCATTTGGCAAATCTGACCATAACTCTATCCTCCTGATTCCTGCTTATAAGCAAAAACTGAAGCAGGAAGCACCAGTGATTCGGCTAATAAAAAAGTGGTCAGATGACGCAGATGCTAAGCTACAGGACTGTTTTGCTAGCACAGACTGGAACATGTTCCGGGATTCTTCAGACAGCATTGAGGAGTACACCACATCAGTCACTGGCTTCATCAATAAGTGCATCGATGATGTCGTCCCCACAGTGACCGTACGTACATACCCCAACCAGAAGCCATGGATTACAGGAAACATCCGCACTGAGCTAAAGGGTAGAGCTGCCGCTTTCAAGGAACGGGACTCTAACCCGGACGCTTATAAGAAATCCCGCTATGACCTCCGACGAACCATCAAACAGGCAAAGAGTCAATACAGGTCTAAGATTGAATCATACTACACTGGCTCTGACGCTCGTCGGATGTGGCAGGGCTTGAAAACTATTACAGACTACAAAGGGAAGCACAGCCGCGAGCTGCCCAGTGACACAAGCCTACCAGACGAGCTAAACCACTTCTATGCTCGCTTCGAGGCAAGCAACACTGAAGCATGCATGAGAGCACCAGCTGTTCCGGACGACTATGTGATCACGCTCTCCGTAGCCGATGTGAGTAAGACTTTTAAGCAGGTCAACATTCACAAGGCCGCAGGGCCAGACGGATTACCAGGACGTGTACTCCGAGCATGTGCTGACCAACTGGCAAGTGTCTTCACTGACATTTTCAGCATGTCCCTGACTGAGTCTGTAATACCAACATGTTTCAAGCAGACCACCATAGTCCCCGTGCCCAAGAACTCTAAGATAACCTGCCTAAATGACTACCGACCCGTAGCACTGACGTCTGTAGCCATGAAGTGCTTTGAAAGACTGGTCATGGCTCACATCAACAGCATAATCCCAGAAACCCTAGACCCACTCCAATTTGCATACCGCCCCAACAGATCCACAGATGATGCAATCTCTATCGCACTCCACACTGCCCTTTCCCACCTGGACAAGAGGAACACCTACGTGAGAATGCTATTCATTGACTACAGCTCAGCATTCAACACCATAGTGCCCTCAAAGCTCATCACTAAGCTAAGGATCCTGGGACTAAACACCTCCCTCTGCAACTGGATCCTGGACTTCCTGACGGGCCGCCCCCAGGTGGTAAGGGTAGGTAACAACACATCTGCCACACTGATCCTCAACACGGGGGCCCCTCAGGGGTGCGTGCTCAGTCCCCTCCTGTACTCTCTGTTCACCCATGACTGCATGGCCAGGCACGATTCCAACACCATCATTAAGTTTGCCGACGACACAACAGTGGTAGGCCTGATCACCGACAACGATGAGACAGCCTATAGGGAGGAGGTCAGAGATCTGGCCGTGTGGTGCCAGGACAACAACCTCTCCCTCAACGTGACCAAGACAAAGGAGATGATTGTGGACTACAGGAAAAAAAAGAGGACTGAGCACGCCCCCATTCTCATCGACGGGGCTGTAGTGGAACAGGTTGAGAGCTTCAAGTTCCTTGGTGTCCACATCACCAACGAACTATCATGGTCCAAACACACCAAGACAGTCGTGAAGAGGGCACGACAAAGCCTATTCCCCCTCAGGAGACTAAAAAGATTTGGCATGGGTCCTCAGATCCTCAAAAAATTCTACAGCTGCACCATCGAGAGCATCCTGACTGGTTGCATCACCGCCTGGTATGGCAACTGCTTGGCCTCTGACCGCAAGGCACTACAGAGGGTAGTGCGTACGGCCCAGTACATCACTGGGGCAAAGCTCCCTGCCATCCAGGACCTCTATACCAGGCGGTGTCAGAGGAAGGCCCTCAAAATTGTCAAAGACTCCAGTCACCCTAGTCATAGACTGTTCTCTCTGCTACCGCACGGCAAGCGGTACCGGAGTGCCAAGTCTAGGTCCAAAAGACTTCTCAACAGCTTCTACCCCCAAGCCATAAGACTCCTGAACAGCTAATCATGGCTACCCGGACTATTTGCACTGCCCCCCCACCCCATCCTTTTTACGCTGCTGCTACTCTGTTAAGTATTTATGCATAGTCACTTTAACTCTACCCACATGTACATATTACCTCAACTACCTCAACTAGCCGGTGCCCCCGCACATTGACTATGCAACGGTACCCCCCCTGTATATATAGCCTCCCTACTGTCACTTTATTTTATTGTATATATAGCCTCCCTACTGTCACTTTATTTTACTTCTGCTCTTTTTTTCCTCAACACTTTTTTGTTGTTGTTTTATTCTTACTTTTTTGTTTAAAATAAATGCACTGTTGGTTAAGGGCTGTAAGTAAGCATTTCACTGTAATGTCTGCACCTGTTGTATTCGGCGCATGTGACCAATAAAATTTGATTTGATTTGATTTGAGTCTTTCTGGGTAAGTACAATATTTGCACATTCTTTTTTTTTTTTTTAATTGTCAAGCTCTGTCAAATTGGTTGTTGATCATTGCTAAACAGCCATTTTCAAGTCTTGCCATAGATTTTCAAGCTGATTTAAGTCAGAACAGTAACTAGGCCACTCAGGAACATTCGTCTTGGTAACCAACTCCAGTTTATATTTGGCCTTGTGTTTTAGGTTATTGTCCTGCTGAAAGGTGAATTTGTCTACCAGTATCCCGTTGGAAAGCAGACTGAACCAGGTTTTCCTCTAGGATTTTGCCTGTGCTTAGCTCTATTCCGTTTATTTTTATCATTAAAAAAAACGCCCTAGTCCTTGCCGATGACAAGCATACCCATAACATGATGCAGCCACCACCATGCTTGAAAATATGAAGAGTGGTACTCAGTGATGTGTTGTGTTGGATTTGCCCCAAACATAATGCTTTGTATTCAGGACATAACGTTCATTTCTTTGACACATTTTTGTGCAGTTTTACTTTAGTGTCTTATTGCAAACAGGATGCATGCTTTGGAATATATTTATTCTGTAGAGTCTTCCTTCTTTTCACTCGGTCATTTAGGTTAGTATTGTGGAGTAACTACAATGTTGTTGATCCATCCTCAGTTCTTTCCTATCACAGCCATTCAACTGTAACTGTTTTAAAGTCACCATTGGCCTCATGGTGAAATCCCTGAGCGGTTTCCTTCCTCTCCGGCAACTGAGTTAGGAAGGATGCCTTTATCTTTGTAGTGACTGGGTGTATTGATACACCATCCAAAGTGTAATTAATAACTGCACCATGCTCAAAGAGAAATTAAATTGTACATTTTAGTCATTTAGCAGACGCTCTTATCCAGAGCGACTTACAGTTAGTGAGTACATAAATTTTTATTTATTTTTCATACTGGCCCCCCGTGGGAATCGAACCCACAACCCTGGTGTTGCAAGCGCCATGCTCTACCAACTGAGCTACACGGGACCTGTCTGCTTTTTCATTTTTTTACCCATCTACCAATAGGTGCCCTTCTTTGCGTGGCATTGGAAAATCTCCCTGGTCTTTGTGGAATCTGTGTGTGAAATTCACTGCTCGGCTAAGGGACCTCATAGATAATTGTATGTGTGGGTTACAGAGATGAGGTAGTCATTCAAAAATTATTGAACACAGAGTGAGTCAATGCAACTTATTATGAGACTTGTTAAGCACATTTTTCCTCCTGAACTTATTTAGGCTTGCCATAACAAAGGGGTTGAATACTTTCTGAAGGCACTGTATGTTTCAGTTATCTAGCATCAGTCCAATGATTCTGTGGGTGGTCATGGAAGACACCTGGCGGGGATCTTACCTGCCCTCTCGGATCTCGATGGTAATGGAGCGGGACACCACGTCTCTGGAGGCCAGGTCCTTGGCGTTAGGAGCGTACCGCTCCATGAAGCGCTCACCCTCACTGTTGATGAGGATTCCTCCCTCACCACGGCAACCCTCTGTGATCAGACAGCCGGCTCCATAGATGCCTAGAGGGATAATGTTAGGTCACAAGTTATATGAAACCAGCACTGAGGGAGGGCACTTCACACCCAATGATAATTATAGTATGATTATGTATCCACAGTATGTAAAGGGTTAGTCTGCCAGCCCTCTGACTTACATGACCATTTGACTTATCCGACATCAACGATACTAGCTATGTCATGAAACACACATAATTATTCAGCAATTACCTTCCGACTAAGCAGAGAAAAATTTTCAAGATGACACTTCTGATAGGTCTATTCTGAGTGCTAATCCATTTTTTCTCCAATAAATGATTATTTAATGTTCTTTCCGTCTCGTAAATCCATTCCCTAGCAGACAGGTCTCTATTGCCAATCTGATATAGGACACCGACCTGTGGGGTGGAACTGGACAAACTCCAGGTCTTGGCAGGGCAGGCCAGCACGGGTCACCATGGCATTACCGTCTCCTGTGCTGGTGTGGGCTGAGGTGCAGCTGAAGTAGGTACGGCCATAACCACTAGATTGAGCAGAGAGGCAGGATTAAGACTCAGGGCACAATAGGAGCACTTTAAATTGTCATCAAGGAGGCACCTTCTGTTCAGGTGCGGATTAAAAAAAAAAGTTACCAGATTATTTGGAACAAGCCTTCTAACTATCTAACTATACTTATTCGCTACAGAAACACCCGACACAGAGAACCAGATACATACCCTGTGGCGATGACTGTTCTTGGACCTGAATACATACCCTGTGGCAATGACTGTTCTTGGACCTGAATACATACCCTGTGGCGATGACTGTCCTTGGACCTGAATACATACCCTGTGGCGATGACTGTTCTTGGACCTGAATACATACCCTGTGGCGATGACTGTTCTTGGACCTGAATACATACCCTGTGGCGATGACTGTTCTTGGACCTGAATACATACCCTGTGGCGATGACCGTGTTCTTGGACCTGAAGCGGTGGATGGATCCATCCTCCATACACAGAGCAATCACTCCCTTGCACTCTCCATCCTCCATCAGCAGGTCCAGGGCAAAGTACTCCACAAAGTAGCTGGTGTCGTACCTCAGAGACTAAATAAGTGAGAAGCATAGAAGAGTGATAGATGACTGACTGGCATAAACAGGTCAGAATTTGACTTTTGGGATTCTAAAAGCAGTGTGTCAGTAAAAGGGGATTCAGAGGACTGCAAGTGGTGAATTATGGGATTTTGAGTACAGAGAGTGTGACGTACCCGTCCGTAGAGTGTGTGCAGGAGGGAGTGGCCGGTTCTGTCAGCTACGCAGCAGCACCTGTGGGCCTGGCCTCCTTTGCCAAACTTCAGACTCTGGCCTCCAAAAGCCCTCTGGTAGATCTTACCATCCTCGGTACGGCTGAAGGGCATGCCAAAGTTCTCCAGCTGGGGACGCAAAACAGTCAAATCACTGCTTCACAACAGTTATTTTCATAACAGGAAGCTAGACAAATTAAGTTAGCTAAGAAATAATACATGAATGCTTTAATTTGATCAGCCTATCAGTGTTTGTTTTGATGTTGTGCCAATCCTTTGTGATTAGGGTGATTTCAACTGAATCCCCCCAAAATTAGAGGCTACATAATTACACTAATACACTTGCATTTTAGCTAATTATTTAATTACACAGAATGTATTAAATCAAATTGTTTAAGTCTACATAAAGGCAGCTACACAACATTGCAGAGCAGATTAAGGGCATTGAAAGGCCACTTCCACTTGTTTTGGTACATCAGAAGGGATGAAAGAGGACAGGACAGCATGCCACATTCCCCTGATGGACACTTCTTCCATCTCCACTGTTAGCATGCCACATTCCCCTGATGGACCCTTCTTCCATCTCCACTGTTAGCATGCCACATTCCCCTGATGGACCCTTCTTCCATCTCCACTGTTAGCATGCCACATTCCCCTGATGGACCCTTCTTCCATCTCCACATTCCCTTGATGGACCCTTCTTCCATCTCCACTGTTAGCATGCCACATTCCCCTGATGGACCCTTCTTCCATCTCCACTGTTAGCATGCCACATTCCCCTGATGGACCCTTCTTCCATCTCCACTGTTAGCATGCCACATTCCCCTGATGGACCCTTCTTCCATCTCCACTGTTAGCATGCCACATTCCCCTGATGGACCTTCTTCCATCTCCACACTTCCCTGACCCTTCTTCCATCTCCACATTCCCCTGATGGACCCTTCTTCCCCCACATTCCCCTGATGGACCCCTCTCCCATCTCCACTGATGGACCATGCTTTTATCTCCACTGTTAGCATGCCACATTCCCCTGATAGTCCCTTCTTCCAGCTCCCCTTTCAAGAGGCTGTTGGTTATCCTTTCCATACATGACAATATTTGCCACAGAAGAACTATCAGAGGCATAGTTTCATTTAAGTTCCCGTCTTGCTTTATCCCTCTGACAGATCTAGAGCACTGGAAAAACTGTATGTGTGTGTGTCTCACCTCCACCACGGCATGTGGAGCCTGCTCTGTCATGTAGTGGATGGCGTCCTGGTCTCCCAGCCAATCAGATCCCTTCACCGTGTCATAGAAGTGCCACCTCCAATCATCTCCCTCCATGTTCCCAAGGGCTGCGTTGATCCCACCCTAAATGCAAAAACAACTGTTTAGGACCACTGGGAGAAAGATAAATAATCTTACAGAATTAATGGGCATATTGTCAGTGCAGAGAGTAGGTCAAGGGCCGTTTCAAAGTGCATGATCAGCATGAACTTTGGACGGCTTTATGTAGAGACTGCATGGAGGTAGGCTTAATACAAGTGTAACACATTAAGGTGGCTGATAACGCCACTGCAGTGGGATATGATTGAGTCATTGTGATTTTAAATGGCATTGCTGCCTTCTGTGGATAATGCAAACAGAGTGAAAGTGGCCTCATTATAATGAACAGTTAAAAACGCAACACTTCACTTAAAAAAGGGGACCATCTGGGATATTCCCTCCTTTGACATGGTCACTTTCCATTGATTCTTGTAGATATAACTTCACCTACCTGTGCAGCCACTGTGTGTGACCTGGTGGGGAACAGCTTTGTGACACAAGCTGTGTTGAAGCCAGCTTCAGACAGGCCGAAAGCAGCACGCAGACCTGCTCCGCCGGCACCCACAACCACCGCATCAAACTCATGGTCTACCACGGGGTACTGTGTGGAAATCTGTAAGCAAGGACCCACAAAACAGTCACAAACCATATAGCTACATTTCAGTATTTTCTCTAGTTAAGAGTTTTGTTTATACAAATTGCCTCTACAAGCACTGAGACAAATAACAATCGCCTCTACAAGCACTGAGACAAATAACAATCTAAAAGTCAATATAGTTTGTGCAAAAAAATATTGAATCCATTCATACAGTACTGTCAATGATGAACATGGGAGTATGCAGACTTACGCCATCTGACACTTTAGAGTTGTTCTTCCCATAGATTGAGAAGTGGAGCTTCCTGGAGCTCTGGGATACTGCCGGAAGCTAAATTGGGGGAAAAAAAAACTTGGTAAATATAGGCCTAACTCATAGGCTATGCTTGGCTATTGATGAAAGTACTAAATTGCTTAAATAAACACTCGGCTAATCCACACAATGGAATGGGTTTTTTCTTCAAGTCAATGTATGCCTTTACTATGGGTTTCTAAAGTTAGTCTAGTTTGCTCACTGTTTTCAAATGCAGCAGAAACCCAAACAGCTGATTGTGACATAACTAAGGTGAGAACACTGCCTCAACAAAGTTGCCTAGTTGTGTTACAAAATCATTACACGTGTACAATAGGGCTTCTTAAAAGCATTTCAACCAATATTTCTGAGAGGAAAGATACACATTTGTAGGTGTGTAAACACAGACTAATTTGTAGGAGTGTTCAGACTAATTTACATTATAATGTCGTGACAAATATATTGATTTCAAAATCATATAGCTAGGTAAATGTCTCTGGCATCGTAGAGTATTCTCACGTCCTCCCATCTAAACAAACAGCTTCCTTGCTTTTCGTCCGCAACCAAACATCCTCAAAACAACTCTAGCTAGCTAAAAAATGTGCCATAGTCTCAACATCCCCTCTTAAAACACAGCATACATTCAAATGAAAAAACAGTCGAGAGACATTATTTGTGATAAAATATAAATCAGTGTTTTTACTGACAACACAAACGAACTCAGCCAACAGTTCGTTTTGCATGGCCCGGTTACCCGGTGATTGGAGATTTCTCCTTAGGCCCAATGCAATTGTCCCCAAAAAACTAAATACACCGTATCACCGGGCACCGGGCCATGAAAAACGAATTGGCCCACTGGGAACTAGGCTAATCCTTGGTTAGCCACATTGCTAACAGATTCTTAAGTAACTTGCCTTGCTTGACCTTCAATGCACTGATGTTTATGGCTACAGCAAGATTCAACCCACCCGAAATACTCAAGCAATACAAAGTATATTAATCAAGTTATTCGTCAGAATCGAATTGCCATGGAAATGTCAAATGACAACATTGAAACTGCGACAGAAACGAAGCTAGCGCCCTCTTCGTATTGTATAGAAAATGATAGCTACAGTAGCTAACGTTGACTACGTTACGAAACCACAGCAATGGTGAACCATCATTGACCTACTGATGTTACCAAACAAGGTACTGCGAATATCAGCTCATATGGACACATTCGCGAAGCCAACATATAAAGTAGTTCATAGTGATATTCTAAAGCAACAGTTTGTTTCCAAATACTTACCGCCTTGGCTGACAGCACCTTTTTGGCGAGGACACGGGAGGCAGTACACACCGCGGCCATGATGGGTACTCGCTTTGTCTGGCAAGATCAACGTTATCAAACCGCTCTGACATATCTTGTGTCCCGGTGTATGCCGGTGCCGGAGTATACCATCTCAAGAGAGGGATTCATTTGGTCAAAGGAAAAATGAATAGTCCTCATTGATGAAATACAGTATTCATTATATAGTCAAGTAATTTCTATGTAACTGTTATCATATTTTACAACTCATATAATTCGCTTTCCGATATCTAAATTAACTCAATTTTAACTCCCCTTTTAGAATTCTAGGTGGGAAATTATGCATTGTTTATTCAGGAAGAGAGACGAATGACGTTCGATTGAAGAGACATTCTTGAACATAAAAGGTATCTGCAAGGTTACTTAATCCATGCTTTCCTTTTGGTAACAATGTTTTACTAAATTGGTTTGAATGGAATTGAATGCATAATGTATTGAGCCAGATTAGCCTTTCCAACATGAAGCTAGCTGTCAAGATGATGAGGCAAAACCTTATTTTGTGTTTGTATGAACAATCTCCTTGGTATGATAGTTATAGCTTGGTGGTCAACCACATCTGTCAACTGTGTAGTTTATCTTCAGTAAAGATATCCCCCCTCAATTCTGAATGATGGGGTCATGTTTGCACAAATTACCCCATTTGTATGTCAATAAATTGTTCATGATTGTGTTCTTATAACGTTACCAGAGCAGTTAACTCTTATTATGTTGAGCAGCCCATGCCCCTTAGAGTCAGAGATGATAACACTCATTGAATTTACTGTACACTACCTCTGCAGGCCAGATGAACAACCTGACGCTAAGGACCAGGCCCAAATCTCCCGGACCAGGCCCAAATCCCGGTCATTCGCATGAAGAGGAGACGCAGATCCGGCTGCCTTGTGAGAATTCGTAGGCGAGTGGGTAACCCGCCTGTACCATCCGTTCTATTGGCCAATGTGCAATCACTGGAGAATAAACTCGAAGAGCTCTGTTCGAGACTATCCTACCAACGGGACTTTAAAAACTGTAATATCATATCGTATCTGAAGATTATGCCTTTGTTAAATGTTTTTCATGACGAAATGGAATGTTGGTTGTTCAGGCCAAAGGGGGGAGGTTTTATGATGTTATTTGAAATGTGCCGCTTGGAGGGTGACGCCCGAGGGGAGACTGGTGATTGGCCAGAAGAGGGAGTAGCCCCTCCCTTTGCATTGTTTATAAATAGGGGGTAAACGATTAGACGGCAGAATGGCCATAACAATCTGGGAGGCGTTCTCCAGGCAACGCGTGTCTGTGAATTTATGCTGTAACCTCGTGGTATGAATAAAAACTTCTGACACGATGCAGCATAACGGACTTTTTGTTCATCAGCAATATTACCACCATTCATCATATACGACAATCACAGTGTCATGGCTGAACGACGACATGGATAATATACAGTTGGCTGGGTTTTCCGTGCATCAGCAAGACAGAACAGCTACCTCCGGTAAGACGAGGGGTGGTGTTCTGTGCCTATTTGTCAATAACAGCTGGTGCGCGATCTCTAATATTAAGGATGTCTCAGGCAGAGTACCTCGTAGCTGTCTATTTACCACCACAAACCAAAGCTGGCACTAAGACCGCACTCAATGAGCTGTATAAGGCCATGAGCAAACAAGAAAATGCTCATCCAGAAGCGGCGCTGCTAGTGGCCTAGGACTTTAATGCAGGGAAACTTAAATCCATTTGACCTCATTTCTACCAGCATGTCACATGTGCAACCAGAGGGGAAAAAAAGTCTAGACCACCTTTACTCCACACACAGAGATGCATACAAAGCTCTCCCTCGCCCTCCATTTGGCAAATCTGACCATAATTATATCCTCCTGATTCCTGCTTACAAGCAAAAACTAAAGCAGGAGGTACCAGTGACTCGCTCAATATGGAAGTGGTCAGATGACGCGGTTGCTACGCTACAGGGCTGTTTTGCTAGCACAGACTGGAATATGTTCTGGGATTCATCCAATGGCATTGAGGAATATACCACCTCAGTCACCGGCTTCATCAATAAGTGCATCAACGACGTCGTCCCCACAGTGACCGTACGTACATATCCCATGGATTACAGGCAACATCCGCACCGAGCGAAAGGCTAGAGCTGCCGCTTTCAAGGAGCGGGACACTAATCTGGATGCTTATAAGAAGTCCCGCTATGCCCTCAGACGAACCATCAAACAGGCAAAGCTTCAGATTTCTTATAAGCATCCGGATTAGTGTCCCGCTCCTTGAAAGCGGCAGCTCTAGCCTACTACACTGGCTCTGATGCTCGTCGGATGTAGCAGCGCTTGAAAACTATTACGGACTACAAAGGGAAACCCAGCCGCGAGCTGCCCAGTGACGCGAGCCTACCAGACGAGCTAAATGCCTTTTATAATCTCTTCGAGGCAAGCAACACTAAGGCATGCATGAGAGCACCAGCTGTTCCGGACGACTGTGTGATCACGCTCTCCGTAGCCAAATGTGAGCAAGACCTATAAACAGGTCAACATTCACAAAGCCGCTGGGCCAGACAGATTACCAGGACGTGTACTAAAGCATGCGCGGACAAACTGGCAAGTGTCTTCACTGACATTTTCAACCTCTCCCTGACCGAGTCTGTAATACCTACACTACCGGTCAAAAGTTTTAGAACACCTACTCATTCAAGGGTTTTTCTTTATTTTTACTATTTGCTACTTTGTAGAATAATAGTGAAGACATCAAAACTATGAAAGATCAGTTGTGTTGTGACAAGGTAGGGGGGTATACAGAAGATAACCCTATTTGGTAAAAGACCAAGTCCATATTATGGCAAGAACAGCTCAAATAAGCAAAGAGAAACGACAGTCAATCCAGAAAATGTCAAGAACTTTGAACGTTTCTTCAAGTGCAGTCGCAAAAACCATCAAGCACTATGATGAAACTGGCTCTCATGAGGACCGCCACAGCAATGGAAGACCCAGAGTTACCTCTGCTGCAGAGGATAAGTTCATTAGAGTTCCCAGGCTCAGAAATTGCAGCCCAAATAAATGCTTCACAGAGTTCAAGTAACAGACACATCTCAACATCAACTGTTCAGAGGAGACTGTGTGAATCAGTCCTTCATTACATTTTAGTCATTTAGCAGACGCTCTTATCCAGAGCAATTAGGGTTAAAAGCCTTGTCAAGGGCACATCAACATATGTTTCACCTAGTCGGCTCGGGGATTCGAACCAGCGACCTTTTGATTACTGGCCCAACGCTCCTAACCATTAAGCTACCTGCCGCCCTATGGTCAAATTGCTGCAAAGAAACCACTACTAAAGGACACCAATAAGAACAAGAAACTTGCTTGGGCCAAGAAACACGAGCAATGGACATTAGACCGGTGGAAATGTGTCCTTTGGTCTGGAGTCCAAATTTGAGATTTTTGGTTCCAACCTCCTTGTCTTTGTGAGACGCGGTGTGGGTGAACGGATGATCTCTGCATGTGTATTTCCCACCATAAAGCATGGAGGAGGAGGTGTTATAGTGTGGGGGTGCTTTGCTGGTGACACTGTCTGTGATTTATTTAGAATTCAAGCCACACTTAACCAGCATTGCTATCACAGAATTCTGCAGCAATACGCCATCCCATCTGGTTTGGGCTTAGTGGGACAATCATTTGTTTTTCAAAAGGACAATGACCCAACACACTTCCAGGCTGTGTAAGGGCTATTTTACCAAGAAGGAGGGTGATGGAGTGCAGCATCAGATGACCTGGCCTCCACAATCCCCCAACCTCAACCTTATTGAGATGGTTTGGGAGGAGTCGGACCTCAGAGTGAAGGAAAGCAGCCAACAAGTGCTCAGCATATGTGGGAACTCCTTCAAGACTGTTGGAAAAGCATTCCAGGTGAAGCTGGTTGAGAGAATGCCAAGAGTGTGCAAAGCTGTCATCAAGGCAAAGGGTGGCTATTTGAAGAATCTCAAATATAAAATATGTTTTGATTTGTTTAACACTTTTTTGGTTACTACATGATTCCATATGTGTTATTTCATAATTTTGATGTCTTCACTATTATTCTACAATGTAAAAAAAATAAAGAAAAACCCTTGAATGAGTAGGTGTTCTAAAACTTTTGACCGGTAGTGTACGTGTTTCAAACAGACCATCATAGACCCTGTGCACAAGAAAGCAAAGGTGACCTGCCTAAATGATTACTGCCCCGTAGCACTCATGTCGGTAGCCATGAAGTGCTTTGAAAGGCTGGTCATGGCTCACATCAACACCATCATGCCGGAGACCCACTCCAATTCGCATACCGCCCCAACAGATCCACAGATCACGCAATCTCAATCGCACTCCACACTGCCCTTTCCCACCTGGACAAAAGGAACACCTATGTGAGAATGCTGTTCATTGACTACAGCTCAGCGTTTAACACGATAGTGCACACAAAGATCATCACTAAGCTAAGGACCCTGGGACTAAACACCTTCCTCTGCAACTGGATCCTGGACTTCCTGACAGGCTGCCCCCATGTGGTAAGGGTAGGCAACAACACATCTGCCACGCTGATCCTCAACACTGGGGCCCATCAGGGGTGCGTGCTCAGTCCCCTCCTGTACTCCCTGATCACCCACGACTGCGTGGCCAAGCACGACTCCAACACCATCATTAAGTTTGCTGACGACACAACAGTGGTAGGCCTGATCACCGACAACGATGAGACAGCCAATAGGAAGGAGGTCAGAGACTTGGCAGTGTGGTGCCAACCTCTCCCTCAATGTGAGCAAGACAAAGGAGCTGATTGTGGACTATAGGAAAAGGAGGGCCGAACAGGCCCCCATTAACATCGACAGGGCTGTAGCGGAGTGGGTCGAGAGTTTCAAGTTCCTTGGTGTCCACATCACCAATGAACTATCATGGTCCAAACACACCAAAACAGTCGTGAAGAGGGCACGACAACACCTTTTCCCCCTCAGGTGACTGAAAAGATTTGGCATGGGTCCCCAGATCCTCAAAAAGTTATACAGCTGCACCATCGAGAGCATCCTGACCAGTTGCATCACCGCCTGGTATGGCAACTGCTCGGCATCTGACCGTCAGGCGCTACAGAGGGTAGTGCGTACGGCCCAGTACATCACAGGGGCCAAGCTTCCTGCCATCCAGGACCTATATACTAGGCGGTGTCAGAGGAAGGCCCAAAAAATGGACTGTTCTCTCTGCTTCCGCATGGCAAGCGGTACCGGAGCGCCAACTCTAGGTCAAAAAGGCTCCTTAACAGCTTCTACCCCCAAGCCATAAGACTGCTGAACAATTAATCAAATGGCTACCCAAACAATTTTTTTGCGCTGCTGCTACTCTCTGTTTATTATCTATGCATAGTCACTTTACCCCTACCTACATGTACATATTACCTCAATTACCTGGACTAACCTGTACCCCCGCACATTGACTCGGTACCCCCAGTATATAGCTTCTTTATTGTTATTTTGTTCTTATTTTTTCTTTACTTTAGTTCATTTAGTAAATATTTTCTTAACTCTTCTTTTCTTAAAACTACATTGTTGGGGCCTCCCGAGTGGCGCAGCGGTCTAAGGCACTGCATTGCACTGCTAGAGGCGTCACTACAGACCCGGGTTCGATCCCGGGCTGTTTCACAACCGGCTGTGATCGGGAGTGTCATAGGGCGCTGCGCAATTGGCCCAGCGTCGTCCGGGTTAGGGGAGGGTTTGGCCAGGGGGGGCTTTACTTGGATCATCGCGCTCTAGCGACTCCTTATGGCGGGCTGGGCACCTGCAGGCTGACCTCGGTCAATAGTTGAACGGTGTTTCCTCCGACACATTGGTGCGGCTGGCTTCCGGGTTAAGCAGGCAGGTGTTAAGAAGCGCGGTTTGGCGAGTCATGTTTCGGAGGACGCGCGACTCGACCTTCGCCTCCCGAGCTCGTTGGGAAGTTGCAGCGATGAGACAAGATCGAAATTGAGGAGAAAAAGGGTGTAAAATAAAACAAATAACAAAATGCATTGTTGGTTTTAGGGCTTGTAAGTAAGCATTTCACGGTAAGGTTTACACCTGTTGTATTCAGTTCATGGAACATCAGGCCGGGGTGGGGGGTCATTTAGTTAGTCATTCTACTCCATATTTATGAATTCATTAATTCCTCATACTGTACATTGTATTGTCTTGCCATTACATAAGGTTTCATTGTTCATGTTATATTTTTTCAGATTTCTGAAGCGTACCCAGATTACCACCTGTCTGACACGAACAGTGAGGGAAAAAAGTATTTGGTCCCCTGCTGATTTTGTACGTTTGCCCACTGACAAAGAAATGATCAGTCTATAATTTTAATGGTAGGTTTATTTGAACAGTGAGAGACAGAATAACAACAACAAAAAATCCAGAAAAACGCATGTCAAAAATTGTATAAATTGATTTGCATTTTAATGAGGGAAATAAGTATTTGACCCCTCTGCAAAACATGACTTAGTACTTGGTGGCAAAACCCTTGTTGGCAATCACAGAGGTCAGACGTTTCTTGTAGTTGGCCACCAGGTTTGCACACATCTCAGGAGGGATTTTGTTCCACTCCTCTTTGCAGATCTTCTCCAAGTCATTAAGGTTTCGAGGCTGACGTTTGGCAACTCGAACCTTCAGCTCCCTCCACAGATTTTCTATGGGATTAAGGTCTGGAGACTGGCTAGGCCACTCCAGAACCTTAATGTGCTTATTCTTGAGCCACTCCTTTGTTGCCTTGGCCATGTGTTTTGGATCATTGTCATGCTGGAAAACCCATCCACGACCCATTTTCAATGCCCTGGCTGAGGGAAGGAGGTTCTCAACCAAGATTTGACAGTACATGGCCCCGTCCATCGTCACTTTGATGCGGTGAAGTTGTCCTGTCCCCTTAGCAGAAAAACACCCCCAAAGCATAATGTTTCCACCTCCATGTTTGATGGTGGGGATGGTGTTCTTGGGGTCATAGGCAGCATTCCTCCTCCTCCAAACACGGCGAGTTGAGTTGATGCCAAAGAGCTCGATTTTGGTCTCATCTGACCACAACACTTTCACCCAGTTCTCCTCTGAATCATTCAGATGTTCATTGGCAAACTTCAGACGGCCCTGTACATGTGCTTTCTTGAGCAGGGGGACCTTGCGGGCGCTGCATGATTTCCATCCTTCACGGCGTAGTGTGTTACCAATTGTTTTCTTGGTGACTATGGTCCCAGCTGCCTTGAGATCATTGACAAGATCCTCCTGTGTAGTTCTGGGCTGATTCCTCACCGTTCTCATGATCATTGCAACTCCACGAGGTGAGATCTTGCATGGAGCCCCAGGCCGAGGGAGATTGACAGTTATTTTGTGTTTCTTCCATTTGCGAATAATCGCACCAACTGTTGTCACCTTCTCACCAAACTGCTTGGCGATGGTCTTGTAGCCCATTCCAGCCTTGTGTAGGTCTACAATCTTGTCCCTGACATCCTTGGAGAGCTCTTTGGTCTTGGCCATGGTGGAGAGTTTGGAATCTGATTGATTGATTGCTTCTGTGAACAGGTGTCTTTTATACAGGTAACAAGCTGAGATTAGGAGCACTCCCTTTAAGAGTGTGCTCCTAATCTCAGCTCGTTACCTGTATAAAAGACACCTGGGAGCCAGAAATCTTTCTGATTGAGAGGGGGTCAAATACTTATTTCCCTCATTAAAATGCAAATCAAAAATTTATACAATTTTTGACATGCGTTTTTCTGGATTTGTTAGTTGTTATTCTGTCTGTCACTGTTCAAATAAACCTACCATTAAAATGATAGACCGATCATTTCTTTGTCAGTGGGCAAATGTACAAAATCAGCAGGGGATCAAATACTTTTTTCCCTCACTGTACATCAAGTAGACTACGAAAATTGTGATTTTCTCTATGGCCACTCTGGACATGGCCATGATCGCACTCTCTTTGAGTCACACACACTTCAGTGGCTTTCAAATATACCTGAGGGTTTCCAGTCCCCAGTTCCCTTTAACATTGTTTCAACTTTGTCACAAAATGTGCCTCTCATTTTACAGATGCCTTCTCAATGAAGACTGGAATTCTTCGCCGATTATCTCCCATAGAAGTGAAGGTGTGTTCCATTGGGAATGACTGGCATCACACATTTGCCCCAAAAAAAAGGCTAAAATAGCCAGTAGGACCTAAAACTATTCTGTCTGAATAGATTATTTTATGATACAGTCATTGTTTTAATTGTAACAAAGTGTATATTTTTGTACTGAATCTATGTTAATACCTCATGCTCAGCAATTCATAAATACATCAATAATGACAGTCAAAACTCAAGAACATTGCGTCAGTGTTTGCAAAAAAAAAATAAGTGCTGTGTCTGTTGGTCTTTAAAACATGCTTTCTGCCCATCGAAAAACAAGACAAATGGGAAACTTCTGTTCTTTTAATAAAATTGTTGAAAACAAATCAATTCATGAATAATACTTTAAAAAAAGGTAATCTCACAATTGAATGGTAAGCCATTATACTTGGACTGACATAAGAACATCTACAGTGAATAGTACTGCTCCCAGTGACGGCCCATTCCAGTCAAAAAGATAGGGAGGACTCAGGTACTGCATTTGATCACACAAATGTACTCTATAATTCAGAATTGGCAACAATTAAAAAATTTGACATATTGAGCGAGTCAACTTTTGCATGGTCATAAATATGCTATAGACATGAAACCACCAGCATCCAAGTGGTAAAAAAATATTATTTTTTTAAATTATAAAAAGTTAAAAATGTAAAACACTAAAAATTCTAACATGAAAATAGTGATCCCAGATCACCAAAATATTTAGACAATTCACATATTTATTTTCACCATAACACTGAAAACATGCAATAAAACAAAATGGGGTTGTTGTGTCAATAACAATTGGACCATCTTCCTGACAATTTTGTTACTGAACACTTTCCCAAAACAAAGTTACTATTCCAGTACCTATAATATCCCTTATTCATGACTTTGGGTTTCCAAACGTCTTTTTCAAAGGTTCATCGTCAGGGCAGTTTGTGAATTATTTCCCTTCTCTGCCATAGTTTCTGGTGAAGAATGAGGGGGATTCGTGACCATCTTTATCAAGAGTTCATCATCGGAGTTCTCCTCTTCCCCTGGCAAATAAACAAACAAACAACTATAGGTGCTACATAATAGGTAGAGAATGGCCGACTTCAATGTTATCTATCAAACAGTGCAGCTGTAGACTGTGTCAAAGATATTCCAAATGGGAAGGGAAATATACAATAAGAGGAATTCTTACCTGCACTTCTTTCACCTGTGTTTCCCACGTTGGCTCTATCGTTATCTTCCAAGACTTCTTTAGTGTCACATTTCTCCAGAATAACCATAAGGTTCTTCATTGGTGGATTTCTCACCATCTTCTTAATCAAGGGCTCATCGTCTGAGCTGTCATCCAAAGAACCTGATAAAGCAATACAAATCCAACTATTGCATACAGTGAGGGAAAAAAGTATTTGATCCCCTGCCGATTTTGTACGTTTGCCCACTGACAAAGAAATGATCAGTCTATAATTTTAACGGTAGGTTTATTTGAACAGTGAGAGACAGAATAACAACAACAAAAAATCCAGAAAAACGCATGTCAAAAATGTTGTAAATTGATTTGCATTTTAATGAGGGAAATAAGTATTTGACCCCTCTGCAAAACATGACTTAGTACTTGGTGGCAAAACCCTTGTTGGCAATCACAGATCAGACGTTTCTTGTAGTTGGCCACCAGGTTTGCACACATCTCAGGAGGGATTTTGTCCCACTCCTCTTTGCAGATCTTCTCCAAGTCATTAAGGTTTTGAGGCTGATGTTTGGCAACTCGAACCTTCAGCTCCCTCCACATATTTTCTATGGGATTAAGGTCTGGAGACTGGCTAGGCCACTCCAGGACCTTAATGTGCTTCTTCTTGAGCCACTCCTTTGTTGCCTTGGCCGTGTGTTTTGGGTCATTGTCATGCTGGAATACCCATCCACAACCCATTTTCAATGCCCTGGCTGAGGGAAGGAGGTTCTCACCCAAGATTTGACGGTACATGGCTCCGTCCATCGTCCCTTTGATGCGGTGAAGTTGTCCTGTCCCCTTAGCAGAAAAACACCCCCAAAGCATAATGTTTCCACCTCCATGTTTGACGGTGGGGATGGTGTTCTTGGGGTCATAGGCAGCATTCCTCCTCCTCGGAACACGGCGAGTTGAGTTGATGCCAAAGAGCTCCATTTTGGTCTCATCTGACCACAACACTTTCACCCAGTTCTCCTCTGAATCATTCAGATGTTCTTTGGCAAACTTCAGACGGTAATGTATATGTGCTTTCTTGAGCAGGGGGACCTTGCGGGCGCTGCAGGATTTCAGTCCTTCACGGCGTAGTGTGTTACCAATTGTTTTCTTGGTGACTATGGTCCCAGCTGCCTTGAGATCATTGACAAGATCCTCCCGTGTAGTTCTGGGCTGATTCCTCACCGTTCTCATGATCATTGCAACTCCACGAGGTGAGATCTTGCATGGAGCCCCAGGCCGAGGGAGATTGACAGTCCTTTTGTGTTTCTTCCATTTGCGAATAATCGCACCAACTGTTGTCACCTTCTCACCAAGCTGCTTGGCGATGGTCTTGTAGCCCATTCCAGCCTTGTGTAGGTCTATAATCTTGTCCCTGACATCCTTGGAGAGCTCTTTGGTCTTGGCCATGGTGGAGAATTTGGAATCTGATTGATTGATTGCTTCTGTGGACAGGTGTCTTTTATACAGGTATCAAACTGAGATTAGGAGCACTCCCTTTAACCCTCCCGTTGTCCTAGGGTCAAAATGACCCGCCACTGTGTTGAACCAACTTTATTAAATTTTTATATTTTTGGGATCATTTGTGAGAAGGAGGCAGTGAGACTTTAAAGAAAGTATCACTGCCTCCTTCTCACAAATGATCCAAAACATATAAAAATTAAATAAAGTTGGTTCAACACAGTGGCGGGTCATTTTGACCCTAGGACAACGGGAGGGTTAAGAGTGTGCTCCTAATCTCAGCTCGTTATCTGTATAAAAGACACCTGGGAGCCAGAAATCTTTCTGATTGAGAGGGGGCCAAATACTTATTTCCCTCATTAAAATGCAAATCAATTTATAACATTTTTGACATGCGTTTTTCTGGATTTTTTTGTTGTTATTCTGTCTCTCACTGTTCAAATAAACCTACCATTAAAATTATAGACTGATCATTTCTTTGTCAGTGGGCAAACCTACAAAATCAGCAGGGGATCAAATACTTTTTTCCCTCACTGTAACAAGACACAACCTATTATATTCTAGGGTGTATTTTGGATTGTGTTGAAATCTATGCTTCGACAAGTGCTGAAAAAGTATTCTCACCTTCACTTGTGCTTTGAACAACTTTGGTGCTCCGTCTGATGACTGCTTTGTTCACAATGTCTGCTCTGGTCTTCTTTCTGGCTACCACAGTCTTTCCTGATACACTCCTCTTCTTTGCTGGTGTCGTGGTCTTCTTTACAGCTTTATGAGGCTTCTTAACTAGATTTATCAAGGGCTCGTCATCAGAATCAGAGCCCACCTCTTCCTCTGACAATTCAAACAGGATGAAGGAAAAATATGAGAGAAATTCAACGACCCATCTATAACATGATCTGTCAGCATACTGCGCAATAACTTTAAAAAAGTTGCTCTGCAGGATTAGTTACCTCTGCTTATTTCCCCTTTAATTTGACTACAGTTGTTGTTGTTGGATTCCTTAGCGACACACCTCTTCGGTATTGTCCTGTCGGTCTCTTTGGATGGAGACCTCTTGGTCAGATGTATTAATGGCTCATCATCAGAGCTGTCATCCGAGGTCTCTGATCATGCAATCAGAAAACAAAACTATCTAATTATTATCTCCTAAATATTATGGTCATAAGTGAAAGCATGGCGCCGAGAGGCGATAAGTATTCTCACCTATCCTCCTGTTGTGTTTTTTCAAAACTCTACTGGGTTTTTTAATGCCAGGCGTTGTTCTGGCTGTAGTGGTGGGGGTCTTTGTTCGCTTTTGTGCCTTGAGTTTATCGACCATCTTAATCAGGGGCACATCATCTGAGCTGTCACCGGATGATGAGTCTAGTTACATAGAAGACAATATGAACAGGAAAGCAACAGTTTAGTCCCGCTAAATCCATTTAGCTAATTCCCGTGTATATATATTCTAAATAGAAGAATTGAGGAAGTAGTCTCACCTGTGCTTATGTTATTAGCGTTCTTGGAGTTATTTCTACACTTCTTCACATCGTTCACCTCTCTTGCTGTGTTGAATGGTCTCTTTTTGAATGGCAACGATGTCTGTTTAGGGATCTTTTTAACCATCTTTATCAAGGGCTCATCGTCTGAGCTATCATAGGAGTCCTCATTCTGAGTTGAACCTACAATTACGACATAGACAAAACAAATTGATACCTCCTTCCGTTCAGAATGGTAGTGTGTGTATGGTACAGTATTCAGGGCATTGCCTAGATTTTGAGGAGCTAGAGAGGGGTTCTCACCTGTGATTTTGTTGTTTGTCTTCTTGATGCCATTACCTGTTCCTCTTTTGATATTAGTAGTCCCTGGTCTCTCTGCTTCTACAGTGGCTTTTTTAGGTCTGGGAATTTTATTCACCAACTTCGTCAAGGGCTCATCATCTGAGGTGTCATCCAACCCTAATCTCATAAACAGTGAATATGATGACCAACAATATATAATTAGAAATATATATACAGTACCAGTCAAAAGTTTGGACACACCTACTCATTCAAGGGTTTTTCTTTATTTTTACTATTTTTTACATTGTAGAATAATAGTGAAGACATCAAAACTATGAAATAACACATATGGAATCATGTAGTAACCAAAAAAGTGTTAAACAAATCAAAATATATTTTATATTTGAGATTCTTCAAATAGCCACCCTTTGCTTTGCACACTCTTGGCATTCTCTCAACCAGCTTCACCTGGAATGCTTTTCCAACTGTCTTGAAGGAGTTCCCACATTTGCTGAGCACTTGTTAGCTGCTTTTCCTTCACTCTGCAGTCCGACTCATTCCAAATCATCTCAATTTGGTTGAGGTCGGGGGATTATGGAGGCCAGGTCATCTGATGCAGCACTCCATCACCCTCCTCCTTGGTAAAATAGCCCTTACACAGCCTGGAGGTGTGAAAAACAAATGATAGTCCCACTAAGCCCAAACCAGATGGGATGGCGTATCGCTGCAGAACGCTGTGGTAGCCATGCTGGTTAAGTGTGCCTTGAATTCTAAATAAATCACAGACAGTGTCACCAGCAAAGCACCCCCACACCATACCACCTCCTCCTCCATGCTTCACGGTGGGAAATACACATGCAGAGATCATCCGTTCACCCACACCGTGTCTCACAAAGACACAGCGGTTGGAAACAAAAATCTCCAATTTGGACTCCAGACCAAAGGACACATTATCACCGGTCTAATGTCCATTGCTCGTGTTTCTTGGCCCAAGCAGGTCTCTTCTTCTTATTGGTGTCCTTTAGTAGTTGTTTCTTTGCAGCAATTTGACCATGAAAGCCAGATTCACACAGTTCCCTCTGAACAGTTGATGTTGAGATGTGTCTGTTACTTGAACTCTGTGAAGCAATTATTTGGTCTGCAATTTCTGAGCCTGGGAATTCTAATGAATTTATCCTCTGCAGCAGATGTAACTCTGGGTCTTCTATTCCTGTGGCGGTCCTCATGAGAGCCAGTTTCATCATAGCGCTTGATGGTTTTTGCAACTGCACTTCAAGAAACTTTCAAAGTTCTTGAAAGTTTCCGTATTGACTGACCTTCATGTCTTAAAGTAATGATGGACTGTCGTTTCCCTTTGCTTATTGGAGCTGTTCTTGCCATAATATGGACTTGGTCTTTTACCAAATAGGGTTATCTTCTGTATACCCCCCCTACCTTGTCACAATACAACTGATTGGCTCAAACGCATTAAGGAAAGAAATTCCACAAATTAACTTTTAATTGAAATGCATTCCAGGTGACTACCTCATGAAGCTGGTTGAGAGAATGCCAAGAGTGTGCAAAGCTGTCATCAAGGCAAAGAGTGGCTATTTGAAGAATCTCAAATATAAAATATATTTTCATTTGTTTAACACTGTTTTGGTTACTACATGCTTCCATATGTGTTATTTCATAGTTTTGATGTCTTCACTATTATTCTACAGTGTAGAAAATAGTAAAAAAATAAAGAAAAACCCTTGAATGAGTAGGTGTGTCCAAACTTTTGACTGGTACTGTATATATATATATATATAATAGGTGTTTAAAGATTTTAATTTCACTCTAGTGTTCGCTCACCAGAATCTTTTCTTTTGCTATTCTTTGACTGAGGATCAGGTTCTTGGTTCTGGTCTTTTTCACTCTGGGTCCCATTGGGCTCAATGGGCTGCGGCTTCTTCTTTACTAATGCAATTAGGGGTTCATCATCGGAGCTGTCATCCAAGGACTCTAACGGTACTGCCAGAAAACATGTTAAAAGAATACAACTGCTACCTATAAGTCATTGCATATGTTCGAGGGGCATATTCACCTGTGCGTGTCTCCACCATGTTTTGACTTCCACTTCTTTTGCTCAATCTGAAGCTCAAGTTAAAAGGCGCGAGGATGTACACAAAATGGAATACTCAAATAACACACTGTTGTATTTGCCTTGTAATATTATGTAAATGTAGCTAGCGATTTACTCAAAAGGAAAAAAAGGTCGATCCGTCGATTGCCTTTTCAAGATATACAAGACTGCAATATGTCAATTTCCTTTTGTTTACACTTGCTAGAAGCACTAAGCTCTGCGCTAGAACAGAGAGGGAAAGGCAAAGCGAGAGGTTTTACTCCGGCCAAAATCTTTCCACGAAATAAACCCACAACGTGAGGAATTATTTTATGGAGGTCGATGAGAGTGTCGAATTTGGTCAACAAAACATGTAATTGCTCATTTGCTACGTGAGGCTTATTTGATCGAATAGAAGTTTCAAAATGGTTAGGTTGAATGCTCTGATATAAGTAGACGCACGTGGCATTTTGGCAACGACTTTATGTTTATATTTTTTATTTGATTTAATTTATTAATTTATTTTAAATCCCAGCCCCCGTCCCCGCAGGAGGCCTTTTGCCTTTTGGTAGGCCTTCATTGTAAATAAGAATTTGTTATTAACTGACTTGCCTAGTTAAATAAAGGTTAAATAAAACACATTTAAAAAAATATAATTTGAGTTGTGCCTGTTGTCATAGAGATAGGTAGAGGACTCATCATAGCTATAAGAATATAATAATAATATGCCATTTAGCAGACGCTTTTATCCAAAGCGAATTACAGTCATGCGTGCATACATTTTTGTGTATGGGTGGTCCCGGGGATCGAACCCACTACCTTGGCGTTACAAGCGCCGTGCTCTACCAGCTGAGCTACAGAGGACCACGTAACTCGTATTAGCATGGACATTGCCATTGTAGCCAACTGGGTGGGGATTCCAATAAATTGTGAGCAATCAGCCAATGAAGAAGAAGAAAATTGACTACTAAAAATGGAGATAGCCTCAATGGCGCTGCCCATGCTGTCACAGACGCTATAATGGCACAATTACAAATATGAGCCATCTATCTATCTCTATGGCATGTTGTTCTGCCCTCTCATTGGCTAGCATGGTCCCACCTGAAGTCGCCTCCTCCCGCCTGCCTTCCATCTTTGAGGACATGTATTTCCATTATTAGAGTGGTCACTTGACTATCTTGTCAATATAATAGACAATCTTTGGCTTGAAAGCGCGACGTCCCTATTTGATGACGTCATGGTCCAGCGTTTGGGTGTATTAATTCCGCCGATTCTGTTGCAAAACGTTTCTTACACGGAAGCAAACGGAACTAAACATGGAAGGGACCTACCTGAATTTGTCCAAGTCGTTTTGTTTGCTTCAGTTTGGTTCTTAAACGCTAAACTGTGTCCATAATGAATACACGCCAGTACCCATTAGTCAGATTCCGTTGCAAAAACGTTTGGTCTGTTGCAAAACGTTTTGTAACGGAAATTAGAGTTTCTAGTTGATAAATTCAGGTAGATCCCTCCCCGTTTGGTTCTGTTTTCTCCGTTTGGTTCCGAGAGTAAGTGATTAACGGTTTCACAACGCAAACCGTTTACTCCAATTAGAAAACGTTTTGCAATGAAAACGAGTTTCTGTTGGACAGATTCAGGTAGGTCCCTCCCCATTTCGTTCCCGTTTGCTGTTTTTTTTGCAAATGACGAAACGTTTTGCAACGGACTCCGACTAATGAATACACCCCTGTGGTGTGCAGTGCACCACGCAGCTAGTGACAAATCAGTGCAGTCCCATTAAGTCTCAATTAAGTGAGTCAGTCATAATGTAGTTAGTTTGGTTCATTTATTAAGGTACACATGTTTAATAAATGACAGATGTTTGAACGCAGTGTCAGAATCTAGACAGAGGAACATGATAAGTGTGGTCGCCTACTAAAGCCTCAGTAACCTGGAAAGAGAATTGTCAAAATGTTTCCAACTTCACTTGCTAAAAACAATGCAAGTACAACTAATACCCAATTGAAGGCTACATTAACTAGCCAGTCACTCTGATTAAAGCCAAATGACCCATCCTTATTTGGTTTTTATTTTATTTATTATTATTATTATTATTTGGCCCAGTTTTTTATGAAAAGGTAAATTATAAAATGAATGAATTAATAATTACAAAACAAGAAAAGTGCTAATGCAGAAGTACTCATTTACATAATATATCTCAACTAAGATCATATTATGACTTTGACAGTTAAGTGCTCACTATCGCCACACACACAGGAACTTTAAAAGGGCGGCAGGTAGCCTGGCGGTTAGAGAGTTGGGCCAGTAACCGAAAGGCCGCTGGTTTGAATACCCAAGTCGACAAGGTAAAAAATCTGTTGATGTGCCCGTGAGCAAGGCACTTAATCCTAATTCGTTCCAGCGGCGCCGTACTACTATGGCTGACTCTGTAAAACAACACATTTCACTGCACCTATCTGGTGTATCTGACAATAAAAACATATATTCTTATTATATATTTTAAAGCCATTAATAGATGTTGACAAACAAATGGTGAAGATCCATATAGAACGGAAATACTGTTTGTCCATTTGTCCATTGTTTAGGACCATACGTGTGCTACCGATCCTGAATTTCTTATTATAGTGATCTCCAACTAAACCAACAAGATATATCGTATTTCACTCATAATAACAGAAAAACTTAACCATAACATTGCCGCATTTCAAACAACATTAGCCATCTCTGCTCACACGAGGTACAGTACACACACAAGGAGAAAAACACCGCCTAAAGAGGAGCAACTTGAGTGAGGAACGGATGCTTTGCTCCGTACAACTTAGATGTCTTTATGCTGGTGTCGTGTGACTGCTCGAAGGGAAGGAGTTACAAAGCTGCTATTTTACTCGCTTCTCGGACGCCACTCAAATAGGCTCCTGTTACCGTCTGAGGAAAGTGCCTGTTGGTTGCCTAGAGACAGAAAGACAGGAGAAAGACTCATGTTAAAATCAGGGGCCGTATCTGTCAAGCATCTCAGAGTAAGAGTGATGATCTAGGATCAGGTCCCTCCTGTCCATGTTATCTTATTCATTGTGATCTAAAAGCCAAAACCGATCCTAAAATCAGCAGTCCTACTCTTAAAAAGTGTCTCATGGATGTTTCTCTTTCGTGTGAAGGCCTGTGGTAATACATTGGTGTGTGTCACAGGAGGTTGGTGGCACCTTAATTCGGGAGGACGGGCTCGTGGTAATGGCAGGAGCGGAATCAGTGGAATGGTATCAAATACATCAAACACATGGTTTCCATGGTTTCCAGGTGTTTGATGCCATTCCATTTTCTCCGTTCCGGCCATTATTATGAGCCGTCCTCCCCTCAGCAGCCTCCACTGGTGTAAGAGGATAAAAGGGGTCAGAGGTCTTACCTCCCCAGCGAAGAACACTTTTCCTTGCACATCTTCAGCAACGATGTCATAGGCCTCCCCACTGCCTCCTGTCTTTACGAAGCTGTATGACATCTGAGACCACATGTCTCTGCTCCACCGTGTCACAAAGTACTTCACCGGCTCTGGGACATCCTACAATGAAAAATACGTGAAAATACAGATACAACATTATTTATTTATTTGTCATTTATTTTGAATACCTTAAATGTCATTTGTAGTAGGCCTAAGTCCTATTGTAATGTGTGATTTTCTCTTCAAAGTACACAGTTGTTCTACCTGCTCCTTGAAGAGTTCACGCAGGACCATCATGCACTGATCAGCAACATCTTTGTCCTCCATGTCCCTGATAGAGGGCACAGCTTCACCAGTGATGACGGACATCAGGACACTCCGCTTTCCCTGCGGAACGGGCCAAGACAGGAACACATCTTTTTCTCTGGTAAGAAACCTTTTATTTACGTATTCAGCGTAGATTCCTGTCCATAATTCAACAGGTTCACTTCAATGAACATGCTGAAAAAAAAACCTCAGCTGTCTCTTAATGTCTACATAATAATGTCTACAACAAGTATTTGACAGCATTTCTCTCCTTTGAAATAACAGATGATTACATAGTAGTTAGTAAGCATAAAGTACAAAGATGGTATCTCACCTGTGGATCCATGTCATAGAACACACCAAACATCCCTCTCTTGTCAGGACTGGGTGGAATGTGGCCAAAGTAGTCTGCTCCTTGAATCTTGCTGTCCCAGAAGCGAAACGGGAACTGCAGAGCAACCTGAGAATAGGAATGCGTGTTAAGACAGTTTCTGGTGACAGGGTGAACCAGTTTAATTAAGACACAGTTTCTGGTGACAGGGTGAACCAGTTTAATTAAGACACAGTTTCTGGTGGCAGGGTGAACCAGTTTCATTAAGACACCGTTTCTGGTGACAGGGTGAACCAGTTTCATTAAGAGAGTTTCTGGTGACAGGGTGAACCAGTTTCATTAAGAGACAGTTTCTGGTGACAGGGTGAACCAGTTTCATTAAGACACCGTTTCTGGTGACAGGGTGAACCAGTTTCATTAAGAGAGTTTCTGGTGACAGAATGAACCAGTTTCATTAAGACACAGTTTCTGGTGACAGGGTGAACCAGTTTCATTAAGACACCGTTTCTGGTGACAGGGTGAACCAGTTTCATTAAGACACCGTTTCTGGTGACAGGGTGAACCAGTTTCATTAAGAGACAGTTTCTGGTGACAGGGTGAACCAGTTTCATTAAGAGACAGTTTCTGGTGACAGGGTGAACCAGTTTCATTAAGACACAGTTTCTGGTGACAGGGTGAACCAGTTTCATTAAGACACCGTTTCTGGTGACAGGGTGAACCAGTTTCATTAAGAGAGTTTCTGGTGACAGGGTGAACCAGTTTCATTAAGAGACAGTTTCTGGTGACAGGGTGAACCAGTTTCATTAAGACACCGTTTCTCGTGACAGGGTGAACCAGTTTCATTTACATCACCCAGACTGTGTTGCAGCTCTAAACCCTTACCTTTTCAATGAGACCTGCTCCAAGACTGTGGATGGCTTTCAGCTTTCTTTCAGGAAGAGGAGGGTTGAATTGAATTATATTCTTCTGGAGTAATGTCAATGGGACTGTCACCAGAACCTAAAAAAAGACCAAATAAATGTTCCCAAAACAAGAGTGGAGTGTCAGGGAAGACAACTGTACTATAACAGCTAATAGTAAGAGTGGAGTGTCAGGGAAGACAACTGTACTATAACAGCTAATAGTAAGAGTGGAGTGTCAGGGAAGACAACTGTACTATAACAGCTAATAGTAAGAGTGGAGTGTCAGGGAAGACAACTGTACTATAACAGCTAATAGTAAGAGTGGAGTGTCAGGGAAGACAACTGTACTATAACATGCATAATAGGAAGTTCATTGCTCTGTAAATAAACAAATGAGTCCTTACTTTCTGTGCTGTCCACTGAGTCCCATTGGATGAGGTAACTTTGACTATATCCCCTGAGTAATCGATAGCTTGAACCTACAATGAAACAGGTGCACTGTGATTGTGAGGCATTGCTCGAAATGCTTGGGTACAAAAAAAATAGAGAAACCTCTCTTTTATCTAACTATACACTACAACCAAGATGAGAGGATGAATGACAATGAAAGGAACATAGGGTGCCCCCCAATAATATTATCCTCCTACACATTTAAAAAGCATTGAATTGCTGAAGGCATTGGCTAGTAGGAGTTTCCAGCATATTTCTCATACCAGTCATTTCCTTTCAAATCAGTGAAGGAAAGTGAACAAGTGCACTCTGGGAGGATGGAGAGATAATTGGGACACAGAACTCGATGGCTCACCGGGCTCTTGATGCGGATGTCGAGGCCCTCGGCCAGTTTGTTAAGCACAGAGGAATAGCCCTCTGTCAGCAGTGTATGGTCACCAGAGAACTGAGCAAAGAACTCATTATGGTCCCAGGATCGAGCCGACACCTGCGAACACACACACACACACACACACACACACACACACACACACACACACACACACACACACACACACACACACACACACACACACACACACACACACACACACACACACACACACACACACACACACACACACACACACGTGTAAGGACTATGTTTAGGGGTTAAAGCAACAACAACAAAATCCCATGACTGAAACTTAAGTCGATCTCAGATCGATCGTCTGGGGCCAACTTAACCTCCCCTTTCATGTAAGAAAGTCATGACCATCAAGCTTTTAGGGAAAGAGTTTGACCAATTCCAGTGCCCTTCCAGTGCCCGGGATAATTTTTTAGGTAGAAGGACTGAGAAGCTCAGTTCTGGTGACTTTTTAAAAGGACATTCTACAAGCCGACTTGGTAAATAGGTAAACTATTTTACTATGGGGTTGTCTGATTTTGTTTTAATAACAACATTACATGGCAAAAAAATAGAACCATCCTCCCGAGTGATAAAGTAGAGGCTTTGAATGACTTTACCAGCAGCTACAGTAGGTTAGAGACTGCTGTCTGAGTCTTTACCAGCAGCTACAGTAGGTTAGAGACTGCTGTCTGAGTCTTTACCAGCAGCTACAGTAGGTTAGAGCCTGCTGTCTGAGTCTTTACCAGCAGCTACAGTAGGTTAGAGACTGCTGTCTGAGTCTTTACCAGCAGCTACAGTAGGTTAGAGACTGCTGTCTGAGTCTTTACCAGCAGCTACAGTAGGTTAGAGACTGCTGTCTGAGTCTTTACCAGCAGCTACAGTAGGTTAGAGACTGCTGTCTGAGTCTTTACCAGCAGCTACAGTAGGTTAGAGACTGCTGTCTGAGTCTTTACCAGCAGCTACAGTAGGTTAGAGACTGCTGTCTGAGTCTTTACCAGCAGCTACAGTAGGTTAGAGCCTGCTGTCTGAGTCTTTACCAGCAGCTACAGTAGGTTAGAGACTGCTGTCTGAGTCTTTACCAGCAGCTACAGTAGGTTAGAGACTGCTGTCTGAGTCTTTACCAGCAGCTACAGTAGGTTAGAGACTGCTGCTGAGTCTTTACCAGCAGCTACAGTAGGTTATAGACTGCTGTCTGAGTCTTTACCAGCAGCTACAGTAGGTTAGAGACTGCTGTCTGAGTCTTTACCAGCAGCTACAGTAGGTTAGAGACTGCTGTCTGAGTCTTTACCAGCAGCTACAGTAGGTTAGAGACTGCTGTCTGAGTCTTTACCAGCAGCTACAGTAGGTTAGAGCCTGCTGTCTGAGTCTTTACCAGCAGCTACAGTAGGTTAGAGACTGCTGTCTGAGTCTTTACCAGCAGCTACAGTAGGTTAGAGACTGCTGTCTGAGTCTTTACCAGCAGCTACAGTAGGTTAGAGGACTGATGTCTGAGTCTTTACCAGCAGCTACAGTAGGTTAGAGACTGCTGTCTGAGTCTTACCAGCAGCTACAGTAGGTTAGAGCCTGCTGTCTGAGTCTTACCAGCAGCTACAGTAGGTTAGAGACTGCTGTCTGAGTCTTTACCAGCAGCTACAGTAGGTTAGAGACTGCTGTCTGAGTTCAGCGCTACAGGAGGTTAGAGACTGCTGTCTGAGTTGAGCGCTGCAGGAGGTTAGAGACTGCTGTCTGAGTTGAGCGCTGCAGGAGGTGCGCGTTATAGACCGTTTAATTCCCTTCGTCTGAACATCGGAGTGTCATCAACAATCATGCATGTCAGTTCAGTGCACACAGTGTAACAGAGAAAATAAAATATTTGAGAATATTTCATAGAACAGACATGATGTCATTTCCAAACCAGATTTTATTGCACATCTTCACTGATCTAAAAAACGACCTCTCCAGAATCCATACGATGGAAAACCGTTGCTGTGAAGGAGAACTTTAACCCCTGACTATGTTGTCATAACTCTCCTAGGGTCACTTCATCAACTGTTACATGAGCCAGGGTAGGAATGATCTCAGACCTGCTCCAGTGTGCTCCCACAGGCATACTCCAGGTTGCTGAGATGAAACTGAAGCACTTTCTCCTCCAACTGGCTGAACTGGACCCCAGACTCCTGAAGGAATGTCTTGTAGACCTCCTGAATTTTCTCTGGAAGTTAAAATTGTAAAATGATAGAAACTAGAAACTGCCCAAATGTCTATCACTACTTTGTACTTCATATATAAGCAAACCAATGAGAGGAGTGACTAGGGTTGCAAAATTCCGATAACTGTCCCAAAATTCCCAGGTCGTCCAGAAATCCTGGTTGGAATATTTCTGGAATCAGGAGGAAATTCTGCGATTCCTCTAAAAGCCGGGTGTACACTATATGATTTTGGCTCCTATGTAGCTGTCCCAGACAAGCTTTTGAGCTCAGAGACCAAATCCCCAGGTCGTTGCCTACCATGGGCAGCCGTCACCGACACTCTTTTAATGTGAGCGGGTCAGAGGCACAATCTGAGGGCTACCGATCTCGTCTTCCGAGCTGTCCCGATATTTTCAAACATGTTTGATTTTATCGGCACAAAATCTGCAATGCTCCTGTAAGTGTGAGATGCGCAACGACACGTTTTGAGAACGGTGATGAGCAATAGCCAATGAGAGCTCGCCAGAGAAGAAGCCAGTGAGATGATGACGTTGTTTCCCATCACCCAGAATGTGTAGACTAGAGCAGGAGCAATGACTACTGCTAGTATGCGTTTGTACTTGCCTTTAACCAAAGCCCTAAAGTATCAAATCGTTACACAAGCAATGTTATTCAATTCTAAATGTTGGCTAGTTATTTCAACTCTGTTTGGCAAGCGTGAATGTCTGACTGAAAACGTTTGAGGCTGCTTTGAGCCACAGCTTGTTGTAGCTACGTTAAATCCAAATCACATCATCGTTTGGCGAGACAGCGTGGTATGGGGAATCCTCAAGACCCAAGTGATGAATCTTGTAGCGTGTGACCACCGTCTGTGCCACATCGTTTAGTGTGCCCACCACTACGTTGGCAAGACAACAAACTACAGGAAAGACGGTTGTTTAATGTGAGAGGTTCAGCGATGTTAGGATTTTGAAAGTCGTGTAGTGTACACCCGGCTTTACCGGGATTTCTGTCAAACCTGGGAATTTTGGGAAAAATTACCAGTATTCGCAACCCTAGGAGTGACCATAAATGTGTTGTACCTCCCAGAGGGGTGTCCTGGTTCTGAGACTTGTCCTTCCTCCACTCTGACACCACATCCAGGATGGCGTTAAAGTGAAAGTCCATGCGCTTATCGATGGCCGGGTCTGTGGCACTCCCTCCCTCCTGAAACAGGTCACATCTCTCCCCCAGCTTGTGCATATTAATGCTGAGCTACATACAAGAGAAGCAACTGAGTATGTGAATAGTTATAGGACAAGTAAATTAGATAAAAAATACAAAGTTCTTGGGTTCAACTTTGGGTGAATGATTAGAAATGTTGACATTGAAAAATCCTGTTTTCAAGGTACGGTTTTGTGAGTGAATGACTGAGTGCCAGTAGTTTGTGTCAGTGTTGTTACAAAGAATCTCTCACCTTGTTACAAAGAATCTCTCACCTTGTTACAAAGAATTGATACTAAGAAATCCTTAGGCGCTGACAATTTAGACCCGTACTTACTTAAGTGTGCCGCACCTATCATTGCTGGTTCAGTGACACACATTTTTAATCTAACATTAAGCACAGGAAATATCCCTAAGGTGTGGAAAGCAGCTTTTGTTCTGCCATTACATAAGGGAGGTGACGGTAGTGATTTGGATAACTATCGACCCATCTCTAGGCTCCCTTGTCTGGCAAAGATCCTAGAATCTATAGTCAACAAACAGTTACAATCTTTTCTTTCTGTTAACAGTATTTTTAGCCCCAATCAATCTGTTTTTAGATCTAAACACAGTACCACATCGGCCACTATGCTTGTTGTAAATGATATTGCAAATGCCTTAGATGATAGAAAGCACTGTGCTGCGTTTGTAGATTTGTCAAAAGCTTTTGACACTGTAGACCATGCTATCCTTTTGAGTAAGCTGTCATCTATAGGACTGGGCACTGATGCCTGTCGATGGTTTTATGACTATTTTAAAGATAGAACTAAGGCCGTCATGGTCGACGGGGTCAAGTCTGACCCCTTACAGTTACTTAAAGGGGTCCCTCAGGGTTCAATAATTGGCCCACTATTGTTCTCACTTTATATAAACAACATTGGTGATGATGTCAGATATTGCAAATTCCATTTATATGCAGATGACACAGTGATTGTACTCTATTGCTCCAACAGCGGACCAAGCTTTGATGCAGTTGGAGTCTGATTTAGGATCTACAGGGGTCTCTTTTACAGCTTAAACTTGTTTAAACGCTAAGAAAACAAATGTCATGTTTTTTCTAGGTCTAAACTCTCAATTAGAAACACCTTTTGTAATCACTAGCTTGGATGGTACTCAAATTAAACAGGTCTCTGCATATAAATACTTAGGGGTATGGTTAGATGATAGGCTTTCTTTTAAAAAACATGTTACTGAATTGGGAAAAAAGCTCAAATTCAAGATAGGGTTCCTTTACAGAAACAGGGCTTGTCTGTCCTCCGTAAATAGAAAACAAATTGTGCAGGCTACTTTTATGTCCGTTTTAGATTATGGTGATATTATCTATATGTATGCATCGGCAAACACATTAAAACCACTGGATGCTATTTACCATTGTGCACTCAGGTTTATCACAGGTGATAGTTACAAAACTCATCACTGTATCCTATATCAAATGTGGGTTGGGCCTCTCTATCTGTGAGGCGAGAGCAACCTTGCTCTCTTGTTTATTTATAAAGCACTTCTTTTAAAACTACCTCCATATATGTCATCATTAATTTCCACTAGATATACTCTAGTCTTGTTATCTCTCATCTTGTTACAAAGAATCTCTCACCTTGTTACAAATAATCTCTCACCTTGTTACAAATAATCTCTCACCTTGTTACAAATAATCTCTCACCTTGTTACAAAGAATCTCTCACCTTGTTACAAAGAATCTTTCACCTTGTTACAAAGAATATCTCACCTGCTCACTCATCAGTGCAATTGGGTTGTTCACACAGCCGTTCACAATCTGAGCCCCTCGACCCACTGTGACGCCGCCCAGCGATGTATCATCCCACACCCGCCCTCCAATCCGCTCACTCGCCTCAAGCATCACCACCTGTGATTGGATCAAACGCTTGAGGTTAAAGTTCATGAAGAGGGCACAGCCACAGAACTCATCAGCAGTTATTCATTCAATATGTTGTGAACAATATTATGTATTCCGCATTTTGGACCTAGAACATCTTATGGGTTACAATAGGAGTAGGTTCCATATCTGAATTAACCCGAAAATCAGACACCCAGCTAGCACATCTGGTTCCTTGGAAATTGTGGGAACGTACGTTATTGGTTCCCATTGGTTCTGAGAATGAAGTCATATGTTTCCTGACCGGTAAAACTGAACGTTTCTTAAACGTTCTGAGAATGGAAGTGAACATTTCACCTGTTCTGGGAACATACATTTTCAGGTTGCAGGGAGGTTCTGAGAATCTTTTACTATGGTTCCCTGAAAGTTTTCCTGGGAGATTTTATTAACATTCTGAGAACAAAAATTATAGGTTATTTGAAGGTAATTAAATAACGTTCTGAGAACATGTTCAATAAGACTTTTAATAACACTTCTAGCTTAGTTTGGGTTAACTGCTTTGAGCTCAAGCACAGATAGGTCATAATGGAAATTAATCATGCAAACAATTATTTTTTATTGTTGTACGGAGTCAGTGAGATTCAAACCTATGATCTTCTGTTCTCTATCCATGGAATTAGTCCTCTGCGCCACCAGGATGGAGCTAGCATGCCATGTTTTTTTAACTCATACAAAGCTGTTCATTTTAATCTATTCAAACAGACCCCATTTCAATGGAAACAAGCACTCATTAAGATCAGGTGTGCCCAATTAATGGAGAACACACTTAACAAGACAGAGGATAGAGAGAGTTTTGTTGACGCTGAGAACAGAATGTATATGTTTTTAAATAACATTCTCAGAACTTTGTTTGAACATTACTAATGTTATCTTGTGGTTTTTATGGAAAGTTTTCATAATGTTCTGAGAACATGACTTTAAATAGCACCATGAGGAAACCTGTAGAAAACGTTATGCTAAAGTACTGAAATTCCCACAGAAGAACGTTGTTTCTTAACGTTCTCTGAACAATTTGAGAATTGTCTTTTAAATAGAATCATGAGGAAACGTTATGCTGAAGTACTGAAATTCCCACCTAAGAAACATATGGCTCTCAGAATGTTACGTGCTAGCTGGGTATCCTGCACCATTCCCAGAACACTGTAGGAAGGTTTTATGCAAAATAACCATAGGACAACCAGGCTCTCACCAAGCTCTAAGAAACATACGGTTCTCAGAACGTTATGTGCTAGCTGGGATGTTTCTCAGAACGTTATGTGCTAGCTGGGATGTTTCTCAGAACGTTATGTGCTAGCTGGGATGGTTCTCAGAACGTTATGTGCTAGCTGGGATGGTTCTCAGAACGTTATGTGCTAGCTGGGTATGGTCAAGACTGAAAACAAAACGGAACACTTAAAGTAGTTCTACATTTTAATCTGAAAATATTACCTGCATGCCAAAGTTCTGCAGCTGTCGCGCAGCAGCCAGCCCCGATGCCCCGGCTCCTATCACAATCACGTTCTTCTGCAAAGACCAAACAATTCAGCATGAGCTGCAGAACATAACTGGACAAAGTTGATGTTAAAAGACTAGACACAGATAGACACACTCACGTTGTGGTAGCGCTCGGGAAGCAGGGGCTGTTTGACTGACAGAACCCCAGTGTTGATCAGACCCTTCCTGGTCATGAAGTGAAGCACCCTGTCCATCTCCTGTACGCAGCGCACACGCACCAGCCCCCGCACAATGATGTGAGGAGCACAGTTCTGGGGCGTCAGCACCTCCTAGACATGAGAGGAAGGGACGTATTTAAATCATTATCACCAAGCCCTGTTGTGTTTAATTGAGCGAAAAGTCATGTAATTTCTCCTAGGTCATATAACTACATTGTTTTTCTCACTATTCTATTTGGCAATTCTATTAGTCTCTCATCGAATATAGGTATGTGACTAGATGGCTGGGTATGTGAAACACCATGTGGAAAAGGAAGTACTCTACACACACCAGGTGGATGAGTGGATGACCCAGCCTACCTACCGAGGAAGAGGAGACGGCGTGCCTGATGAAGAGCTCCTGTCTACCAGTATCTGACTGAGGTTTCTCCCTGCCTATCTGATGAAGAGCTCCTGTCTACCAGATTCTGACTGAGGTTTCTCCCTGCCTATCTGTCATCGATGCTCCCTCCACTCAAGCTACTGACTGCCTTTCCCAACTGCCTTAAGACATCTGAAGCTGTGGAAGACCATCAACCAGGAACTGACAGATCACTACATTTATTTTTGTTTTCAAAGCATCTTTGAGATTCTTGTTTGTAATGAAAAATCAATTATTATTATTACTACTAGGATGCTTCCAAAGTGTCTAATTTAAACAGTGTAGGACTTATCTGTCTGGCTACCTTACAGTCCCTGTGCCAGGAGGCCAGGATAAGGTTGCGCAGGGCCAGGTACATGGTGGGGTCACGGGAAAATTCTGGAAACTCATAGAGCTCATCCAGCTCCATCATATCCGGTCGGACACACAAGGCCTTCCCACACTCGTTGGGCTGGTAAAAGGGCTGGAAGTATGGACACAGCCCTGGAACTGAACACAAAGTATGAGTTATAGGATACGTATTTACTGACCATGAGTGACTATTGACGTTCAACAGACTAGCTAAGATAATAGAAACAAAAGTATCCTAGACTGGATATTAACTACTTGGCGATGTACTGGTTCCTTAGCTCTGGTTCCTTATCTCTGGTTCCTTAGCTCTGGTTCCTTAGCTCTGGTTCCTTAGCTCTGGTTCCTTAGCTCTGGTTCCTTAGCTCTGGTTCCTTAGCTCTGGTTCCTTAGCTCTGGTTCCTTAGCTCTGGGTCTTCTCTATCATACACCCTTCTCAGTGAAGTAGAGCACCAGGGTTGAGATGTGGATTCTCTCCCCACCCTGGATGGACTTACTCTGTGGCGGGACGGCTCTGCAGTGCTCTGCCCTCAACTCAGCATGAGAGTGGTTGCTGGTGGATCCTGAGGGGCTCATGCCCACACAGTCAGGATAGTAGGCTGTGAGGAAAGGGCTGGCCGGGCTGTCCTTAAACAACGGGGGCAGGATCAGCATGGAATGCCACCAGCTGTCGATCACCTCCGCCACTCTCTGTGGAACACAACAAGGTTCTGAATAAGGACAAGGCTGCAGTGATACTTTAAATTGTTGACTGAAGATGCAAGGAACTCGGAGGGTAACTTTTAAAGACAGTCACTCACCAAATCTTCTGGCAGAGAGCACTGGTCTGGCCCTTCAGTCTGTAGATGTAAACACGTGATATTATGGCACAAACATGAAATGTCTATCAAGTTATTTTTGATTATGTTGTTGTCTCTTCCTCCTACTACTTCCTGTTTACCTTGACATTGTTGAACTTCATGCCACAGCGATACGTGGCTGCTAGTGAGGCAGTGAGCTGGATCTCCTTGGTTAGCTGACGCCATTTCCCACAGTCTGGCTTGGTGCATTGGACCTGGAAACCAATCACATTGGAGTGAATGTGTTTGAATTACTCATTTGATGGAGAGTGGCTGCATTGACCTGAATACTATTCCAGTTAGCTAGACATTTTTGGTTGAAAGGCAGCTGTGTTGCTCTCACCCAGTATGGAAGCTGTTGGTCTGCCATGAAAGCTTTGAGACTGGGCTCACTCTTCCCATTGCCAGTCCAAACCCTCTTCCAGGATGCATACGTCTCATAGCCATCTTTGTGACTGATAAAAACCAAGGAAAGATATAGTCATTACATTCAGATCAACAGAGAACAGGTGTCTATGATGACGTGTTTGACAAAATGAAAATGTTATTTATTAAATTCGACTGTTAACCTTCTATAGTAGTGATCAAAACACTCGTTGCAAAAGTGCTCCCCGCAGGACAAATGGTACCACCGGGAAGTGTAGCCATTTTTGGCGCACCTGAAAAAAAGACAGAGAGCAGTTAGAAACCTGTCCGCAAGCACTCACCTCACTGAATGTGATGTCATACTCGTTCTCCGTTGTGTTCCAACAGGTGGCATCACTCATACGGGGACGCTTGTCCCTCAACTGATCAGTGCAGGCAGAATCGTCACACTATCTGATGCAAGGCAGTGGCCGTGTCCAAATTCCCATACGTTCTAAATAGTAGGCATTTTTGGGTATACGAAAATATAACGTTTTATAGTATATGACATTTCGAAAAGTTAGTATGCTTTTAAATGCCAGGATATCCTACTCATTTTGGCTTTTCATCTAGTACAATTCACTGCACACTATTGAGGAAGAAAATCGTATTTTCAGAACCATGTGTGTTTGACAACAGCTGATAAATCAGAGAAGGTGACGCGCTGTACCAAAATGAACGAACGGCGGGAATCAAAGCAATTGACCATCAGATGACGCATTCTCAGTATGGATGAGTAGTATGTTGATATTTGTTGCTTAGTGCATTCATTTGTACTAAACAGTACCTTCTAAATAGTATGTAGTACGATTAGTACACAGTATGTAGTTTAGTTGTCACGCTCTGGCTCCGGGACTTTGCATGTTGAGCCAGGGTGTGTTCGTTTCGTGGTGTTCTGTTTGGTTGGGTTGTTCTATGTGGTTGTATTTCTTTGTTTGAATGAGTGACTCCCAATCAGAGGTAACGAGTGTCAGCTGTTGGCTCGTTGTCTCTGATTGGGAGCCATATTTATACTGTCTGTTTTCACCTTGGGGTTGTGGGTTTTTGTTCCGTGTTCAGTCAGTGTTACTGTGGACTTCACGATCGTGTTTTGTTTTGTTCAGTACTTTAATATAATAAAGTCATGTTCGTTTCACACGCTGCGCCTTGGTCTACTCCTTCTCGTCAAGACGATCGTGACAGAAAAACCCACCATACAACGACCAAGCAGCGTGTCCAGGAGCAGGCAGCCTGGTCATGGGAGGAAGCGCCAGGCAAGGAGATGGAGAGGCTGGCGATGGCCCAGGTGGGCAAAGTGTGGTCCTGGGAGGACATGCTCGGGGGCAAGGGACCTTGGGGTAGGATCAAGGCCCTGGCGAGAGAGGAGCAGCGGCGTCAGCAGTGCCATCGTCGGACGGACGAGAGGCACCCCCAAGAATTTTTTAGGGGGGGGCACACGGCATGGGCGACTGGGCAGCAGGAGGCTGCCACAGGGCGAAATAGGAGAAGAGGAGAGAAGGCCACCGGGTTACGGGAGCCATTGGCGAGAGGAGGGAAGGAAGTCGTAGAGGCACGGCGAGAGGGACTGAGGTGGATTGCCAGTCCGGTCCGGCCCGTTCCTGATCCCCGTTTAAAGCCAGTGGTGTGTGTTCCCAGTACGGTCCGGCCTGTTCCTGCTCCACGCACCAAGTCTACGGTGTGCGTCGACAGCCCTGCCCGGCCTGTTCCTGCTCCACGCACCAAGTCTACGGTGTGCGTCGACAGCCCTGCCCGGCCTGTTCCTGCTCCACGCACCAAGTCTACGGTGTGCGTCGACAGCCCTGCCCGGCCTGTTCCTGCTCCACGCACCAAGTCTACGGTGTGCGTCGTCAGCCCGGCCCGGCCTGTTCCTGCTCCACGCACCAAGTCTACGGTGTGCGTCGACAGCCCTGCCCGGCCTGTTCCTGCTCCACGCACCAAGTCTACGGTGTGCGTCGACAGCCCTGCCCGGCCTGTTCCTGCTCCACGCACCAAGCCTACGGGGTGCGTCGTCAGCCCGGCCCGGCCTGTCCCTGCTCCACGCACCAAACCTACGGTGTGCGTCGCCAGCCCTGCCCGGCCTGTTCCTGCTCCACGCACTAAGCCTACGGTGTGCGTCGCCAGCCCAGCCCGGCCTGTTCCTGCTCCACGCACCAAGCCTACGGGGTGCGTCGTCGGCCTGGTCCAGCTCGTTCCTGCTACTCGCACCAAGCCAAGGGTGCGAGTCGTCAGCCTGATCCAGCCCATTCCTGCTACTCGCACCAAGCCAAGGATGCGAGTCGTCAGCCTGGTGAGGTCCGTTCCGGCTCCACGCACCAAGCCAAGGGTGCGTATCGTCAGCCAGGTCCGGTCCGTTCCTGCCTCACGCGCCAAGCCAGGGGTGCGCGTCGTCAGTCCGGTGCCTGATCAGGTCAGCTACTCCACTACGGAGTTTGAGCAATCCGCTCCGTCTATGTCCGGTCCAGATCCAGCCAGCGGGGTCAGACCGGACCGGGGGCGCTACGGGGGGATTGTGGAAGGGTGGTGGTCAAGCCCGGAGCCGGAGCCGCCTCCGAGGAGAAATGCCCACCCAGCCCTCCCCTGTTTGGGGTTTTGAGGCGCGGTCGCAGTCCGCGCCTTTAGGGGGGGGTACTGTCACGCTCTGGCTCCGGGACTTTGCATGTTGAGCCAGGGTGTGTTCGTTTCGTGGTGTTCTGTTTGGTTGGGTTGTTCTATGTGGTTGTATTTCTTTGTTTGAATGAGTGACTCCCAATCAGAGGTAACGAGTGTCAGCTGTCGGCTCGTTGTCTCTGATTGGGAGCCATATTTATACTGTCTGTTTTCACCTTGGGGTTGTGGGTTTTTGTTCCGTGTTCAGTCAGTGTTACTGTGGACTTCACGATCGTGTTTTGTTTTGTTCAGTACTTTAATATAATAAAGTCATGTTCGTTTCACACGCTGCGCCTTGGTCTACTCCTTCTCGTCAAGACGATCGTGACATTAGTAAGTAGTAGGCGAGACAGATTTCGGACACAGCCGCCAATGACTCTATCTGAAAACCACCAGTGAAGTAAAAACAGGAGATGATACCACAGAACAATGAGACAGATATTTCATCCGGTTGCCGTTTCAACTCACTATCAAATATAGTAGTGAGAGGAAGCCCAATGACCAGCAGTGGGAGAAGATGGAACGAGATGGATTTTGGCCATCATTCTGATAATTTACTCATCGATTAAACATTTGATCTCAATACAGTTTTCTGTTTCCCAAAACTACAATCTATTACAAACAGAGTGAACTAAGTTTTGTAGACTTTACCCTTCGCCAGTCTTTTAAAAACTGCACTGTTTAGAAGGAGTGTAAAGGCAACTGCACTGTTTAGAAGGAGTGTAAAGGCAACTGCACTGTTTAGAAGGAGTGTAAAGGCAACTGCACTGTTTAGAAGGAGTGTAAAGGCAACTGCACTGTTTAGAAGGAGTGTAAAGGCAACTGCACTGTTTAGAAGGAGTGTAAAGGCAACTGCACTGTTTAGAAGGAGTGTAAAGGCAACTGCACTGTTTAGAAGGAGTGTAAAGGCAACTGCACTGTTTAGAAGGAGTGTAAAGGCAACTGCACTGTTTAGAAGGAGTGTAAAGGCAACTGCACTGTTTAGAAGGAGTGTAAAGGCAACTGCACTGTTTAGAAGGAGTGTAAAGGCAACTGCACTGTTTAGAAGGAGTGTAAAGGCAACTGCATTGTTTAGAAGGAGTGTAAAGGCAACTGCACTGTTTAGAAGGAGTGTAAAGGCAACTGCACTGTTTAGAAGGAGTGTAAAGGCAACTGCACTGTTTAGAAGGAGTGTAAAGGCAACTGCACTGTTTAGAAGGAGTGTAAAGGCAAACTGCACTGTTTAGAAGGAGTGTAAAGGCAACTGTCCTGTTTAGAAGGAGTGTAAAGGCAAACTGCACTGTTTAGAAGGAGTGTAAAGGCAGCTGCACTGTTTAGAAGGAGTGCAAAGGCAACTGCACTGTTTAGAAGGAGTGTAAAGGCAACTGCACTGTTTAGAAGGTGTGTAAAGGCAACTGCATTGTTTAGAAGGAGTGTAAAGGCAACTGCATTGTTTAGAAGGAGTGTAAAGGCAACTGCACTGTTTAGAAGGAGTGTAAAGGCAACTGCACTGCTTAGAAGGAGTGTAAAGGCAACTGAGTTATTGTACACCTGCACTTCACAAATATGCAAATGTAGGCTAGAACGCGCCAATAGGATATTATAATATATAATAATAATAATATAATATGCCATTTAGCAGACGCTTTTATCCAAAGCGACTTACAGTCATGCGTGCATACATTTTTGTGTATGGGTGGTCCCGGGGATCGAACCCACTACCTTGGCGTTACAAGCGCCGTGCTCTACCAGCTGAGCTACAGAGGACCACTAGCTAGCTCGTGCTTGGCTCTGCCCACCTCCTTGCTTGTTCTGCCCGCTATGGCTAATTTGTTCCCATTTGAAACGACAGGCTGTGGTCCATCTTGGTTTAGTTATAAAAAATATTTGATGATACCTTTCAGAGGCACTAGCAAAGCACACCGGGTATGTGGCCGAGCATCCAGCCTTCTCACATCTTCTGTACTTCTTCTCAGATTGGTCCTCTTCTTCCTCTGTGTCGATGGCTTTTCTTTTGGTCTGGAATCCAATGACAGACAGACTTCAATATCAAGGAAAATATGCTCATTACTGAAAGCAGAGAGATTGGTAAAAGGCAGGGGGCTCTTAATGGGCTGACTGGGTGGACTGTGGCAATGGGTAAAGTGAGTGAGAATGACTGAAGAAAGGTGGTCTCACTACACCACACAGTCCCAAACTAGCCAGAGCCGACGGATCAAGTATTGTGCCTAGCTGAGGTACAATACTTGATCTGCCGGCTCTGGCTAGTCCCAAACTAACCGTATGAAGTCTGTTTTGTCTAATATTATGGTGCATATATACCTGTCCAGGTGGAGGATTATTGCAGCGCTTCGTTCTGACGTTGACCTGTCTACCAGAGGAGCGAAGGGATGACTGACCATCACCAGATGATGACTCCATTGCTGTCCTCTTCTTGGCACGCCGAGCACCTGAAGCATTTACTGTATAATCTGTAAATTGACCACATATCATATCACTGAATGTGACCATGTCACAGCCTAGATAAAAATGTCATAACACATGGCCTCTCATGTATTAGTACTTAAGTAATAATAGATTGCCAACATGAAGCTTACGTGCTGCCCCATCAACCATTACTCAGCTGCCCAAAACGAACAGCAATTTGGATATGCAAATATGCCACTAGCTAGCTGTAAGCTGGCTAACGTTAGCTCAAAAGCTGAGCTGTCAGACAATGCCGTCAGTGTATGGAAATAGCGCACTAACCTGCATCTGTCAGCATAGCTGACTGTGCTCTATCTCTCCGATTCAGGGTTTATTCCTTTGTTTGAGACGATTTGAAGAACTATTTGTTATCAATCTGTCTTTGTTGTTGTTATTCTGAGGAGGAAATGAAGGCGAAGCCAAAGATAGAAACCGTGGAAAAGCTGACACCAAAACCTACTTCCGGTGTGTCACAACGGGTAAAGTATGCGTTTCGCCTTAGTACTGTTTGGTATCTTCTGCTTCCCGTAGTAGGGACGATAACTATAGTAACGTATCGGTGGGTCAGACGCATTGAGGTATGGTCGGACGCCAACACATCAACATAAGCAGGTGTTTTTGTGAGGCATCGAAGTAGTTATTTTCTTCCATGTATTTGCAATGTGTTTAATGGCAACTAGCTGAAAACCAGTTGTACAAAGTGGTGGAAAAAGTACCCTGTTGTCATACTTGAGTAAAAGTAAAGATACCTTAATAGAAAATGACTCGAGTAAAAGTGAAAGTCACCCAGTAAAATACTACTTGAGTAAATTATCAAAAGTAAATGTAATTGCTAAAATATACTTAAGTATCAAAGTAAAAGTATAAATCATTTAAAACTCCTTATTAAGCAAACCAGATGGCACAATTTTCTTGTTTTTTAAATTTATTTAAGGATAGCCAGGGGCACATTCCAACACTTAGACTTAATTTACAAATGAAGCATTTGTGTTTAGTGAGTGCCAGATAAGAGGCAGTAGGGATGACCAGGGATGTTCTATTGATTAGTCTGTGATTTAGACCATTTTCCTGTCCTGCTAAGCGTTCAAAATGTACTTTTGGGTGTCAGGGAAATGAATGGAGTAAAAAGTACATAATTTTATTTAGGAATGTAGTGAAGTAAAAGTAAAAGTTGTCAAAAATATAAATCGTAAAGTACAGATACCCCAAAAAACGACTTAAGTAATACTTTCAAGTATTTTTACTTAAGTACTTTACACCACTGGTTGTACACGCCGAACTCTGTAAAGCGGTATTTTGCACAAATGCTTTTGCAATGCTCTCATCGGAGGCTTCAACGACTAAGGAGAAGACCTCTGATGAAGTCACAGACTGTCAAAGAATCACTCTCTCAGATGGGTAGTGCTGCCATGGTCATACAAGCATTTATGGTCATCCAAAAGTGGTACCAATTTATTTTGTGTTTGCAGGGTTCCTGATGAGGGTGCCAAATGCTGAAGTGATGAACCAAATCTGACACCCTATTGTATCCTTGTACAGCTCTGTGACGTCCAAACACAGTGTTGACGGTATGGAGCTCTGTGACGTCCAAACACAGTGTTGACGGTAGTGGAGCTCTGTGACATCCAAACACAGTGTTGACGGTATGGAGAGTATTTCACAGACACAACAGATTCTCTAAACATTCAATGAGTGAGCCATTGATGTTGTGTCAGTGGTGTTGTGGTTGTGTTCATTTACCTGTCTGGAACGGTGGGCTATATGAATGTGTACCTGCTCACACATGTTTTCTTCAGGGCTCCACCCTACCAGCCTTGGGTACAGTGCAGCTGTTGGAGCAGAGTGAGCTGGCTGAGACTCTGGTCCTGTCCATGGCCCTCCTGGAGAACCAGCCTACTGTCAAGCTCCAGGTCTTGCAGACTCTTCAGATGCTCTCCAGCTCCTCTGGTAAATAACAATAACAGCAGCCACCGCAATTCAAACATTAATTGCCAAAAAGGACAGGTGAATTGGTTTCTGGATGCGTCCCAAATGGCACCCTCTTCCTTTTATAGCACACTAACTTTGACCGCTCTGTTCAAAAGTAGTGTACTATAAAGGGAATAGGGTAGCCTCTGTCATAATAATAATAATAATAATAATAATATGCCATTTAGCAGACGCTTTTATCCAAAGCGACTTACAGTCATGCGTGCATACATTTTTTGTGTATGGGTGGTCCCGGGGATCGAACCCACTACCTTGGCGTTACAAGCGCCGTGCTCTACCAGCTGAGCTACAGAGGACCACCCATCATGTATGTCATATGTCTTTAATCCATAAAATAATGTAGCTAGTAGATCTTGAAGGAAGGACCAATCATAGCAGTCACTTACAGTTGACCTCTGTCAATGTAGAGCTCATTTTCTATTAATTCCACTTCCTACAATCATATTTATGTTTTGTTTTACAGATGTGAAATGGAGCCTAATGTTAAAGGCACAGAGGGCACAGCAGATCTGCTTCCGTATGAATGAGTAACAGAGCTCCATACTGTCTATACTTCCATTAGGTCAACGGTCGATTAGCTGCATTATGTTACGTCAGTGTACCATTGATAGACTGAAAAACATTCCAAAGTACAAACAAATTATTAATACTTTCTGACTATTGCGTTTTTGATGCGTTATAAACTTCATAGATAATGTTTGTGTCTGCTAGCTGTTCAAAGAAGGCTGTGTTGTCCTGACCCTGCTGCACCTGGTGAAGCCCTCTGCTGCTCCCCTGAGGGCCAGTCATGACCACGCAACTGGACCCCCCGTCCAGCAGGAGGAGCTGCAGCTGCAGGCTCTGGCCGCTCTGGCCACCGTGGCTCCACTGATGCTAGACGACTACATGACCTGTCAGGGAAACACTTCTGCTGCTGCTGGAGTGGTGTGTTGAGCGAGGTGAGGACAGGGGACAAATCTGGAAGTTGGGAAACAGTCAAGCTGTATTAGTGGTTTGTATGAGTGAAGTTGCAGATAGACTACTCCAAATGAATGGCCACCATTTCATTCCTTTTGGTTTATGGTATAAGGGACTAGCTAGGACATTTGTTTGGCCACTTTTGATTACTACGAATTTCATTGAACGTCTCCATGGTCACTTGGTTTAAATGATGGGAGATTTAATTTATTCTGTCGTTCTCATGTTGTGGCAAATTTTTCCTTATATTGATCAAAGAACCAAAGTATTTCCAGAGTTTTTGTAGAATTAAGATAGACTTTATTACAATAGACAAAGCCGAGGTGGTTTGCAAAGCATCTCCTTTTCCACCTCCCAGCTCTCAGTTTACATAGTAATTTTACATACATTTTAGCTTAACCCCTCCCTCTTTGGTTCCCCCACCACTGTCTCCAGTTTCCCCCTCTTGACCGCTCCGCCCACTTCCTTAGTCTATGATAGTGGCGAAATCTGACATCCCCTCCTTCTATGTATGCACAAATAACAGCCCTGTCATGTAAAAACAATCATGTTCAGTTTGAACTCTGTTCAACCCTGGCTTGACCTGGAGATTGATTGTTGGACATGGCAGGTCCACAATCAATCTCTCAAACATACCCAAGCCCAACCCCTCTCTCCCCTCCCGTCATGCTGTAATTAAACAAGAAGACGCCCAAGGAGAGACAAAGGGTTTAGCCTGAACTCTGTACAACCCCAGCTCGTTCCCTGGATATGCCTAAGGAGACAGGGTCACAGTCTGGTTTCAGTCACTGATAAGATGAGACAACTGTAGAATCTGACCCAAACACAGGTCAGATGCCCATTTCACACACACACACAAACCCAGTGAGAGGAACCAATTCAGTTCTTGCCCAGCAACAGCGATGTACCAATAAAATTAAATAAACATATCAATGTAAAAAAAAAAAAAAAACCATCACTCATCACCTTATTGTTTCTGCCAAACAGATGCCTACTTTGGACAGGGCCATAGTTTCCATGGCAGTGGAGGGAGGGCAGTAAGAAGTCTCAGTTGTGTTACTGTGTGAGGCTGCTGAAATCCATGGCGTCCCTAGGCAACGAAGCAATCAACCAGGAGCTCTCTGATCATGGAGCCATCAGCCAGCTGCTTGGTAATGACAGATGGAACCTCCCCTTTTGGAGAACCTCCCCTTTTGGAATATTACAGCTGTGTTGAATATTTATGAAAATGTAGAACAACTACAGAATAAAAAATCCCTTAATACACCAGTAACACTGTAATAACATATTGACAATTCTGATTTTTATTCCAAATGCAAGCTTCACAAAGTCTCATAAAAGGCAGTTATCTGAACATCTGTATTGTCCATAATATGGAGCACAACTTTCCCAGGGATCATTATGCAGATGGAGGGGAGTCCTGAAGAGGAGGATGTTATTACCTTGGAGATCCAGGCTGACATCCAGCTGATCCTGTCAGCACTTTGCGAGACCGATCTACACAAAAAGGTATAGAACTAAGATCAGGAGCATTTTGATTTAATGTTGATATTTTTCAATTTAATGGCTAGATCCCAAGAGGCCTATTCTGTTGTTTTTTACTTATCTTTTTTTTTCCTCTTAAAACTGCATTGTTGGTTAAGAGCTTGTAAGTAAGCATTTAACTGTTGTATTCGGTGCATGTGGCAAATAAAATGTGATTTGATTTAGATGTTGGTTAATCAAATCTTCCCATTCTTGCTCAATTTGGCAATTTGGCATGCCTTCTTAAACAGCCAAAGTGTCACGGTTTCGGCCGAGGCTGCCTCTCTCCCTTGTTCGGGCAGGCTTCGGCGTTCGTTGTCTCCGGAATACTATCTGCCACCGTTGTATGTTTCATGTTCGTTTGCTTTTGTCTGTTTGTTGTCACACCTGTTCTTGTTTAGCCTAATTAGTGTTCTATAAGTTTCTCGTTGTGTGTGTCTAGTGTTGTGTGTTATTGATTTTTGTCATTCGTGTATAGGGCGTGATTCCTGTATTTCGCTCGGTTGAGCTTCCCTCCACTGTTGGAGTATTTACGCACCTGTTTGTGCGCTTTTGTTTTGTTCGCCTTCGTGCGTATTTCGCCTTCGGGCAAGAGTTGACCTATTGCCGTGTTTGGCGATCACTAAAGTCTGTTGGACTATCCGTCTGTGTCCTGCGTTTGATTCCACCACTGCACCCACCTACAGCACGCGCTGACAGAATAACACACCTTTTAAATGGAATCAGCAGGAGCCGCAGCAGCCCCGGCGCGCTGGAGGGCAGGGGCCGGGGAAAAGGGGGTGGGGCCCCAGGGGGGTCCCCCCCCGGGGGGGGATGGGAACCCCGCCCCCCTTTGCAGGAGGGGATCCACCCCTCCGGGGGTTTGGGGGGGGGGAGGGCCTCCACCCGGCCACCCGCCC